CATTAAAAATTTTTGGATCAATATTTCAATATTTTGACCTTAATAAACTGCTTTTCATTTTTTTCCTATTAAAAGAAGAAAAAAGAAAATCGATTTAGCTTTCAGTTTATTTAACATTTGAACCTGATTTATGAAAGTATTTAAAACTCGTTGAGATTTTTGACTTTTTTTTTGCAGCATTGCAGATTATATTAAAAAATATCACGAATTTGATTTATATTTTCAAGACTGCTGTTGTTAAGTTCATATTTTCAAACGAATTGAAAACCTTCAAGAATAACATGTACATATACTACTGTTGTTTAGAACATACACTTGAAATAAGATGTGAATCAGTTAAAAAAAAAATAAAGGTATAGATACAATTGATACAATTAATGAGATAAAAAACATACTTTTGCAAAGCTGTACATTGACATAAGGTCATTTACTGACTAAAGTCTGCAATAATCTTTTCTTGAGCATACCCAACGAATTGACTTGTCCATAGCCAGGTTTCTGGGAACGTTGATCTAACATGATTGGCTGTAGTCAAATGGGCAGGAAGAGCAGGTGTCGTTGTTTGGAATGGTTGGTAAATTGTTGAGTAATAAACAGGAGTGGAAGGGAAGGCTAGGGCTAAATTAGTTTAAAAACAAATAAGTAGTGACGTCAAAATTCTCCAACATTCTTATTCGAACATTCTGTAGATGTATATTCGAATACCTTCCAATAGTCCTATTTTATTTTATATTGTATCTCCCTACCCAAGCTTGTTGATTTTGGGTCGGTCTTTCTGAGTAAAATCTTTATACATATTTTGAAATATTTCATAGAAATAGGCCGACTTTTAGTAAATACACCCTACATTTTCTTTATCTTTGAAAGAATTAAAAATAGCTCATATGAAATATTTGAATGCACAAAAATTATTTTTTCAAAAACACTACACAATGATCTAATCATTATTTATACTCTAAATGTATATATATTTTTTTACAATTACCAAGGGAACATATCAACTTTAAAGATAAAGGAGTGAGAAGAAACGACAATCACTGCATTTTCTGAGAGTGTAAAATTAGAGAAAAATTAATTACTCACGATAACCAAATGCGTCTGTTCTAGGAATCAGTGGCGGAGGATAAGTCATACCTGCGAAGAAGGGAGATAACGTCATACCTAGTTTAAAAAAAGAACATAAAGAACGTAAAATGGTATATCTTAATTTATTATACTTTCATGTTAAATACTTAAATTTGATTGGTTTAGACGCAGTTAACAATCTATTCTATTACCCTCAGCCTTAGCAACACACGTGACAACGGGTAACACAACGATAATGCCACATGCGTGGAAATTATGCGCGTACGGTTATCCGTAGAATTCTCAAAACGTCAGTTGCGCGTTCGAAAGAACCGGAATAAACTTTACGTCAATAAAAGCTTGCGTCTGATGTAGCTTACTTGAAAACAACAAACGATAGACATGCTTGCGAGTGCAGAAATTACGAAACTTTAGATGATAAAGGACTCGTAGAGTATCAAATAAACAATAAAGAGGTCAGTAAATCTTTTTGTAAACGTGGACGAAAAGGCAATCGACGATTTGTATTGCTGACATAGTAAATCAAGAAGACATTCAGTATAATAAAATAAATGGTGCCTGTTTTGGAGGGTAACAGTTGAAATTGACACCCCAAGGAAAACCATTGTCAACCTCCGGTGACGCGTCGGTTGACAATGGTTTTCCTTGGGGTGTCAATTCCAGCTGTTACCCTCTAAAACAGGCACCATTTATATATTATCTAATAGGATGTCTCAAATTATTGTTCATTTAAGTAAACGATTTTTTTCACTCATCTAAAACCTGAACGTTTGTCCATGATGACATGGAATGTGAACAATATTGGTAAATATGTCGAGCTAAGTTGGATAATAAGCAAGGTCATCATTTAATTTTTTGTAATGAAGACCGACTAAATTTCAATATATTTTATTTGTTAACAATACGAAGGGTTTTATAAAATGTCATCCTAAAGAGTAGAGAGCCCCGATAGGGGACATGTATTGGTGAAATGCTATACTCTCAGAATGCATGCGTAATCTTATTTCCTTAAATAGTAGTATTTTTCTACATTTAGAAAATGTGACAAAAAATGTCAAAACATTGTGTAATCAAAGACTGGCTATTTAAAGCAAATAACTAAATTAAGCTACACAACACACATATTTGTTGCAGTTACATGTGTTACTGAGCTGATGGACTTTCAAATACACATTCAAGTTTCATATTCTCTGTAAAGTTCTTTAGAAGAGAATTTGTAAATGTGACTTTTTCTTATTCACCATGTCTCCCCTTCAATTTGTTTTGCACTCCATTTATAAGTTTCGTTGAATTTTGTTTAGCGGTCATGGAGAAGATGAAAATTTTACACGTTATTAAAAACAAAGGACGGCATACAAAGGAATAGTTTCAGCTCACTTGATCAATCATCTCACTTAGAGTATAACACAAAAAATCATCTGTCGTCGGAAATAAGCTTTAATTCTTTAAATCGATCAGTATGAAGCATTGTGTAACAAATTGTCTAGCTCTAGCCCTTGAGTTCGTCACCTTTAAAAATTTACTTTGCCAGCATTTGAACATTGAAATCTGCACTGCACAATGAACAGTTGGAACACTTATATTTATTAATTCTGCATTATCATTGATGATAGTGTATTCAGGTGGAAGATATATTTCTATAATAGACAGGAGTGAAAGGGAAGGCTAAAGCTAAAGAATTCAAATAAAAATTAATAAGTAGTGACGTCAAAATTCTCCAACATTCTTATTCGAAGATTCTGTATATGTATATTCGAATACCTTCAAAAATAGTCCTATTTTATTATACCCCCCGCTTGAAAAGCGGGAGGGTATATATAATGTATCGTCGTCCGTAGCTGTCTGTCTGTCCGTCCGTCTGTTACGCTTTGGGGTACCCATCTCTTATCCGCAACTCAATGCAACTTTCACAGAATCTTTATTACATACTCCCATTGTGCACCTCCTATTTTACTTTTTGATCCGACACATATTTTGGGTTTGCCGGCCACAGGAAAACATGGACTTTTTCACCAGTTATAACCATATGGGAGGCGGGGGGTATCATTTAGTGAGCACATCGCTCACAGTACCTCTAGTTTTATATTGTATCTCCCTACCCAAGCTTGATGGTTTTGGGTCGGTCTTTCTGAGTAAAATCTTTATACATATTTGAAAATATTTGATAGAAATAAGCTGACTTTTAGTAAATACACCCTACATTTTCTTAATTTCTTTAAAAGAATTAAAAATAGCTCATATAAAAAATTTGAATGCCCAAAAATGATTTTTTTCAAAATCACTACACAATAATTTGATGATTATTAATACTCTAAATGTATTTTTTTTTTTTACAATTACCAAGGGAACATATCAACTTTAAGGATAAAGCAGTGAGAAGAAACGTTTACCAGATCCTGATCCTGTTAACGTTCCTGCAGATCCTAATCCTGGTGCGTAGGTTTGCCCTGCTGCGTAGGTAGGAAACACTGGCGGAAGATACGTTATACCTACGAACAAAGGAGATAACGTCATACCTAGTTTAAACGAGAACATAAAGAACGTAAAATGGTACATCTTAATTTATGTCTATATATGTCCACAATGAGAGTTTATTTAATTTACTTGTTATTTATTTTGTACAAACTGTTGAACACTTCTAATTCATCCTGTTATAATATCTCATGTAGGGAGAGGGCGATTTAAGTTTTTAGAACTTGTGCCCAATCCCATTGTATATATTTTGTGCAATAAAATATGTTCAAACCACATCTTAATTTATCTAATATTATGTCTCAAATTATTGTTCAATTAAGTAAACGGTTTTTTTCCACTCAACTTAAGCCTGAACGTTTGTCTGTGATGACATGGAATGTGAACAATATTGGTAAACATGTCGAGCTAAGTTGGATAATAAGCAAGGTCATCATTTTTGTAATGAAGACCGACTAAATTTCAAGATTTTTATTCGTTAACAATACGAAGGGTTTTATAAAATGTCATCCTAAAGAGTATAGGGCCCCGGTAGGTGACATGTATTGCTTAAATGCAATACTCTCAGAATTCATGCGTAATCTCATTTCCTTGAATAGTAGTATTTTTTTACATTTAGAAAATGTGACAAAAATATTTGTTGCAGTTACATGTGTTACTGAGCTGATGGACTTTCAAATATTTCCTATTTATATCAAAATGAACTTTGTCTCTAACCTATTCTTTGGGGGGGGGGGGGGGTTAATGAATCAAAAAATGTTATCAAAAGGGGAAACTACCTTTGTAAAAAATCTTCTACACATTCAAGTTTAATATTTTCTGTAAAGTTGTTCTTTAGAAGAGAATTTGTAAATGACCCAACACAAATGTGACTTTTTCTTATTCACCACGTCTCCCCTTCAATTTGTTTTTGTTGAATTTTGTTTAGCCGTCATGGAGAAGATTAAAATGTTACACGTTATTAAAAACAAAGGACGGCATACAACGGAATAGTTTCAGCTCACTTGATCCATCATCTCACTTAGAGTATAACACAAACAATCATCTGTTGTCGGAAATAAGCTTAAGTATCAAGATATACATTTTGACATGTTTTTGCATATTCTCAAAGGCTAAAAAGACGTTAGAAGTTACTTTTATGTACATAATTTTATGTACATAAGAGTATATTTTATTTCAATTTCAATAGACAAGAAAAAATTAAGAAAACCATGAATCTTGCTTGAGACATCAGACAGGGATAATTTTCCAAAGCAAATGTTATATAAGTCACTATATTCAGATCTAGTCTATGTCTGAACTTTCAGTTTATTTACAACGTTCTGTATAATAATATTTAATAGATAACGGCAAAATAGAGACCTACTTTAATTAAAAGTGATTAACGGTGATGTTTTAATATCATTAAAAAACACAGGGCTATTCACTATATATATCTGTGTAACAGCGTGATGTTATAAAAATAGTAATTAAACTTTACGAATTGGCCAATTACCATGCAATCTCAATCTGAAGGGTTATAATTACCTCTAAATATTTTAAATTTTAAGATGTGTAAAACACTTAATAAAAATATATGCAGCGCTTTCCTTTAAAAAAAAAACAGGAAGGATTTTAAAGAAAATGCGCTCAAATTTACATAATTTATATTTTATTTTTACAGACTAACCGATTACGGATTTTCTACGGATTACGGATTAGCATCGTTCCGACCGATTAATCGATTAACCGGTTACAAATTGTCATTCCTATTTATTTAAGAAATGAAGCTTATTTCAACTTATGTTATCCAATATAACATAACTTGGGGCAGTTTACGCTTTATAAACGGAGCGGTTTATAAGAAAGCGTAAACTGCCCCAAGTTTTGATATATCGGATAATATAAGTTGAAAAAGTTTCATTTCTTTTAATTTAATTTCAGTGTAGACAATGAGACAATATTTCCTCCAAAAAAAGGCTTAAAATTGAGCATTATTGGGCATTATTTTAAAAGTAACGTTAAGCGGAGTAATACGTTTTTTACGTAACTCATTGTGATGTAGGCAAGTTATGTTATACAAAATATGATATGTTTCTCTGAATGATTCAGCCAATGAAATTGCTTGATATAAGTGAAAATAAATTAAATATAATTATTATTATGATTATTATATGATAATTGATTGATTTATTAGGTTACCCGGTGCGGGGGTGAGTTGTAAACCTGTTGAAGAAAAAAGAAAACATTTTAAAACAACTAGGGTCCTTAAATAAATGAAAAGAAATATCTTCATTCATCTGCTTGAAAAATTGAAAGGAAAAATAATTCATGATTTTGAGTTATATGACATTAGTAAATTTGAGCTATCTATTTAAAAATATATATGTATATAATCAATAAAACATAAGCAAACCAAATAGAAATAATCGATAAACATGAAAAGACGCCAAATGGTATTAATCGATAAATATGAAAGCATTTCAAAATGTGGCTGGAATCCTCCTGTTCCTTGGGCTAGTGTGATTGGAAAACCTTATTAGATAGTTAATGACCTAATTAATAAAAATGAAGGGAATGATCGTGTTTACAGTGAAAGTTAACAGAAACATTACATCACTCAGTACATGAAATTTCCCTTTTTTAAAATTTTAATCTTACTGAAGATGTGATATTTCATATAGTATCAATCTGAAGTGGTTATTAATAGAGAGTAGTAACAAAAACTCACAAGGGGGAAATTTGTAAGATGCTGGGACATAGTTCTGGACATCTGTCACGATCATAGTTCCAGCTTCCTATTAAAGGCAATTTCTGTGAGGCTTAATAAGTTATTTCATTTAATTAACATTATATTAAGATTTCATAATACAAAGATGAAAAATAATAAATGGAATTTCGTTTGGTTTGTAAAAAGGAATATGATATATCCAAATTGTAATTTGCTATATTTCTATATGTCATACTTTTAAGTGTTTAAATTGTTCTTAAGGGATTAAATGTTGAATATTACTGACAATTTGATTTACATAGAAAATATTCTCCTCGTAGCTAATCTCTCTCAAAAAAGTATAACTAATTTTGAACGTTTTCTCGAGATACGTGTAATAATTGTCAAAGATATGAGGAATATTAAATTTTGTTATCGAAAGACCTTGAACATAAGCATAATAGTAAGATCGTTTTATTTTTTTTTATATTAACGAATGCTATTGACTTGTCACTTTAATAACTTAACACTGATTCCATCTGGACATTCCAAGGGTTTGTATTTTATGCTCTTCTTACATAGTTTGTATTGTTAGTGGATTCATTTAGATCAATCACTGTGTTCGTTATCAATGATTACAATACCTTATCAAAATAACTTCTAGAATGTAAGATGTTCAGATCGCAACTCCTCTTTTATGACACTAAGAGAAGACTTATGGTACCTCAAATCTGTATGCTGAATAAGTATTATCATGGTTGACTTGAATGGCAGAGAAGGAACCACAATTCACCTTGTAGAAGTAAAGATTTTGTTGAACACTTGGTTTGTACAGTCTAATTCCATCAATTAACTGAAATAAAATGTTAAAACTATATTGATGTAATATTGTTGAATATTTTCTATCAATATAACAAACTTATCCGCTTCCTTGTTGTTGCAATAAGGTTATTTTACCAACAAGTAATGATTCTTAAACATTACTAAAGTACTAAGACAACGTTTGAAAAAGTGCTAAAGTCTTTTTTTGTCTGAAAAGAGTAACGACAATCTTAGCCTTTGTCAGCGTTTCATACGGAACAGTTAAAGAAAACTCCATGATTTCTTAATTCATCTTCTCTGAACGCATGCGCGTCTTTCTTACCGATTGTTCATTTATTTCGTTATCATTTCCCATTAATATTGAGGAGGTATCAACAGCTGAAAGGTAAACCATTGAATGAGGGGCCGTCTGAAGATTAATATTCACTTTCTCTCCAGGTTCTACCTGTGTTTGTCCAAATTTAACAGACACCTACAACAAAATACAAAACAACTTAAAATATACATTCTCATGACCTACAGTAAAAATGCAAAAAATTCTACAGCAAAATACATCTTATCGCCTACAAGAAAAGTGTTTTAAATTATCATCGCTAAAATTAACCGCCGTGGATGAATTTCTAAGTAACGCATCGCGAAGTAATGATGACGCGAATAATATTTGGTTGACAGTACTACAACAAACATGTGTTAAATTTTAACAACATGTCTAAAATAGAATTGTGCGCAATCGCAGTGCTCTACTGACCGAATTTCTTAACATTCCGTTCACAGAAATGGAAATCTGATCCGCATAAATATTTCCAGTGTCTGGGTCGACATTATAAACGATGATGGAGGTTTCAGGAGTCATTTCTTCGGTAAGGTGGACGTCGAATGTTGAATTGATCCTTCCTTTAACATCATGCTTTCCCGATAAAACTTGAACTCCACGTGAAACAAACTAAAACATAAATGAAATTGGGATATCAAACATCACGTACAGGACCAAAAGCAAGGAAATCGAATGAATAGAATAAGTTTCACTATCATGAATTTATTGTGTATAACCTGATAATATACTTCAGCAATTGGTTTGTTTGTCAGTATCTCCATTGTCACGAGGTTTCCAACCTATTAATTATAATGTTTAAAATTAACCAACAACAAATTATAATGTTTATATTTTTGGAATTTTCCTCAATCATATGACTTGTATATTGCATTACTCAAGGGAGTGCTTGGAAAGAATAATATTCGGACAAAAATATATACCAATCCAGGCATCCATTTTTTGATTGTATCATAATGATGCTACACTCGTAAAAGTACTTCAATATTCTAAACTGCTTTCAACTCTATAAAGTTTGCGGCAAAAAGTTACCCTATGATCGGCGGACAAAACATTGATCTTTATATGAGTTTGGTTGTGGTCATACGCATTGAGAGTGAGTGTTTTAACAACACTGTCATGTGTGATCTGAAAGTAAGATATTTCTTTAAAAACAATGAAGTTCATACTTTTTCCATTATAGTAACCTTTCTTTACTTTCAATAATCTTAATAATATGTATGAAATTTATTTTATACTAGTATAAGTATTCTATTTTCATTCTAAGCATTCTCGCTGTTTTCTTTTCTTCACAAACATTTAGTATTTAGAAAATAATTTGTAATAATCACAATCATTTGATTTGAATCATAGTACTGTTTTAAGATTGCACACCTTGATCTCCAAAGTTTGGACATCCGTCTTATTAGGAGTAGGAATATCAATGTCTATGAGCCCGTTTGATGGTATAGGAATATGTTTGTCCTGTTCTGTAGTTGTGCCGGACGAGTTGCGTGAATTAACGACAAGGTGCGCTGGAGGTAAGTGTTTGTTTGGTGCCCTGCCCTCATTGTCCGTAAAAATAATCTAGTATGTATCGAAATGTAAATTTATTTAATAAAATAAATCCTTTTCAAGAAAAGGATCCTACACTGGGTGAAAAAAGTGGTTTCCCATCATGGGAAACTTTATGGAAACCACATGGAAACCTCAAGATTACATCATGTTTCCCAGTGGTTTCCGTAGCGGATGCTAGGTTATTCCGCCAAGTTTCCGTGACACGGAAACCCCCTACGCTCCGATTCCATAAGGTATCCCGAACCACGGAAACCTCTGTAAACCTGAAGTTTCCCGAACATCCATGTAGTTTCCCGTAATGGGAAACCTGAAGATTCCACTGGTTTCCAGAATCAGGAAACTTGATGGAATCGGAGCGTAGGGGGTTTCCGTGGAATGGAAACTTGGTGGAATCTTTAGGTTTCCTTTTACGGGAAACTACATGGAAGCTCGGGAAACCTCACGATTCTTAAAGTTTCCATGACTCAGGAAACCATATGGAATCGGAGCGTAGTGGTTTCCGTGGAATGGAAACTTGATGGAATCTTTAGGTCTCCTTATACGGGAAACTACATGGAAGCTCGGGAAACCTCACGATTCCTAAAGTTTCCTCGACTCAGGAAACCATATGGAATATGATCGTAGTGGTTTCCGTGGAATGGAAACTTGATGGAATCTTAAGGTTTTCTTTTATGAGAAACTACATGGAAGCTCGTGAAACCTTATGATTCCTACAGTTTCCTTGACTCAGGAAACTATATGGAACTTGTGTAACACTTTCTGTGTGGCGGAAACTTGGTGGAATTATCTGGAGTCCCATTCCTGGTGGAAATTACTGGGAAACTTCAAGATTCCCTAACTTTTCTAAAGGAAGCAATGTGAAATAATGTGTATTCTTTTAAAAATCTATCAAAAAAATTTATTACATGTAAAAGAAAAAAGCATTACCATTTTATATGTTTAATAATTCATTTGATGTACAAAAACTGTAACTGAATTTTTCAATGATATCAAAATATTAAATAAATCCATATATCTTAGATAAACAATGGAACAGTCTTTCACATTTAAGTCCATTCATAAGGGTCATTAAGTACTTCGTTCAACATCAGTTTCCTGGTTTTCTTCACATCACCTTTGATCTGCAATATTCATACAAAATTATTATATGATGTCAGAATTATAATACTTGGATATAACTTAGAAATCTGAAAGATCTGTCAATGTCCTTTAATATACCAATATCAATAATTACTTTCCATGACCATGATACATATGATTTCAGCTTTTAATGTATCTCTTTAATATTTAATGCTTTATGATAAGTGAAAAAAAAATAACATAAGGCCAAGCTTAAAAAATTCTTTGTTTGCAGTTGCCGACCTATAATTTTTAGTCTGAGTAGGTAGGTAGGCAATTTTTTTTTTTTTTTGAAAAAAAAATATTTCCAGATCTTTGTTAGATAACATAAAATTAAGTTTTTCATAGGCCTACTTTACATGAATAAGCTGCACTCTTGGTATGATTGATAAAGAAAAAAATTGAAAATGAAACAGTTTTAATATCCTGAAAAATTGGAGAGAAAAAAAATATTACAAAATGGCTAAAAAAAAGTTTGGGTCGGGTGCATTTTCAGTGGGTCGGTCGGCAACTGCAAACAAACAATATTTTATTTTAGGCCTAATATATATAATGTTTTCAGCCTTATTATGTCATTGAGAATATATTACTACATGTATCTCATACTAAGAACCCTGCTTTAAGTTTGATTAGTTTGAGAAAAAACATACTCTTTATAATAACAAAAATATTTGGGAGAGATTTTTTTTTATTTTGATATTCGACCTAGAAATTGGTTGAAGATCATTGCAGACCCTCCACGGAGTCCACCCCATTGCACAAAAGCTAGATTACACCAGGCAGGGGAGAAATATACTCTGGACTACGATTTTAAATAAAGATATACAGTAGATCTTGATACTGACCTTTGACCTAGAAAATTGGTCCAAGGTCACTCTTCATCCACTATCCACAGGCTCTCTGTAGTTTAAGTTTGAGAGAGAAATATGCTCAGAACAAGTGATATCAGATGGAGTGATGGGTAGACACTGTCTTAGGGCATCCACAGAACAGGACCTAAAAATAATGCAATATATATGTATTACAGTATAGATACACATGTACTTGTATATTAATGACTTATCATATGCTGCATTGGACACATATGATTTTATCATGGTTTAAGTATACATGCATCTTATGAGTAATTTTATACCGGTATTGCATGTACGCTCAGTTTATTTAAGAAATAAATAACAAGTTTATAAACTTCAATGGGAGAGATACCACAAATGTATATAAAAACAAGTAATTTAATTTTTTTTTTTACATATATTGTCCAACATTATTTACATCCATTCATCATGTTCATAAATTGGCTGATCAAAATTCAGTCAGTTTTAGATCTATATGATATACCATAAAGGATTTTCACATTTACAAAAGTTATTCCCCTTTGCAGGGTCGATCTGGGGTCAACCGGCTTAAGACGCTGTTTTCCGTCTTTAACCGTATCAACTTTGAGGGACAATATCTTAGAAATAAATCAGTATGAACATATTCAATATGATTTTCATGTTGCCCCCATACTCTGCCAATACAGATACAGATTGTAATTGTCCAATATTTTTGAAGATTGAAAATATTAACAAGTAACTTACAAAGGACAAAGTGGGAAAAATGAGCGATACGCCAACAATTGGAGAAAACTCTTAGGAATGTGAAATTCGTCTATTGGTGATGACAATTCCTGTTTTAATGTCACTCAAAAATTAAGAGACATTAAAAATTTAAGCCCTATTGTCATACACGCATGCTGTTTTTTCATCCATATAACCTTTTAGTATCATAAAATTTACCAAAATTTAATACTTCAGAGACCAACAAAACAAGATGCGCTTGTGAAACACAGCAACAAAGTTCGAAAAAGCAATTTTTTAGCATACAGGTCACAGTCAAGATCACTGACACATAATCATTGTCCTTGTTGCCATTTGAAAGCACTTCATTAGTGGAGTATGCATACTAAAGTAAATATGAAGCCACTATCTCGTATAGTTCTAAAGTTATGGTGAAGGTTTAAGTTGACAACAGACACTCAGACAGACACACAGATATACAGTTATGGCAAACGTTTGACCATTATAACTTGGTATACACACAGCCACTTCGAGGTATCAAGGGTAAAATTCACAGCACAGTGGGACTGCATTTTGACTTCGAGGGATCAAGGGTTTCGAAAGATCAGGAGTTCGAGAAATCAAGAGCAAATCTGCTTAGTTATGTAGTGGAAAAAATCGGGACAAGAGACACAATTCAAGCGATCAAGAACTTCCGAGAAATCGAAGTTCAAGCCATCAAGAGTTACCTGTATATACAGATATAAGAAGCATGTTATTATTTGCAATTTTGACCTAATGACAGCTAAATCTGTTCAGTAAGACAATACCGTGTACATGTATGTAAGTAGTTTTATTGTGCATGATTATTTACTTATTTTCTTGATCTTCTCAACTTGAAGTGTTCTGTAATTTATTACCAAGTTTGTAATAAACATAATGAAACATACCCTTTTCCACATCACATCCTGTATCAGACCTTCGACCAATATCAGCCCTAGGGTCTCTGTCCCTCTGGCTGAAATTGGTGTCTCGGGCTAGGATGCGATATGGAAAGGAGTATGTATTATTTGCTATATTATACATTGACCTACTCAGGTCAATAATTGTGAAAAAACTGATAATTCAAGCTGATGATTCATTTGCATTTCATGACATACTATCAATATTAATTCACTATTAGGATTTTCTTTTTCTACATCTTCATCTCAACAGGTTAGACATTACAAAAAAAAATCTTTTGAGCAGTAAACTATTTCAATAAACAATAAAACAAACCTAATCTCTTCAGAAAAGAGGACAGGCTTTCACCTACATTCACTTTTTTATGTATATTTTCCCTCCATATCATCGTCATGCATATGATTAAGGGTTATGCTATTCGCTACAATCTGTTCTGATGAGGATATCCTTCATGAATAATCGGATAAGCTGAGATTGAAGACACTTTTTTGTAAAAATATCGATGCTTTTATCAAAGTTTTGAACCAAAAATATTTAATTTATACCTTGCCATAAGTCGTAAGTTCCAAAAAAACAAGAGTTGGCTCCCAAAAGTCAGAAAACACATGTGGTATTCAAACCGGATGTTCTACAGTCTGAATTTAATTACGAAACCATGTTCGGTGTAACTATTATCATCCGGATAATTTGAGCGGGGTTTAAAATATTTTTTTTTTTAAATTCCGAAAAGTATTCATTTATATAGAGAGAGAGAACATACACATGGAGCATACATTTTAATAAACATGATAAAAGGCGAAACGTTGAAAATTTACAACATACAGCATGTACATGCACGGTGCCTTCATAATATATAAGTTATGCTATATCAACGTCTCAAATTTCTCTCTCTCTCTCTTTCTTTCTGCAATATATACACTTAACAATTTAAAACTTAGGTATCCAACTTTTCAAAATGGCGTCAGGACAAAAGTTGCCTCCGATAGTGAAGATTTGTTGTTGCCAAATATTACAACTATTTACCGTAAAAAGTTAACAAAAATATACGTACACTAATCCTTCATCGTTGGCCATTGCATTTATCACAGTCTTAAAGACACTGGGTGGTGAAACCATCTTAACTTTTCACATTTACCAGCTGCTTACACCTTCTTCTTCGTCCTTCTCGATCCTCCAAAAATGGCGCCTCGGGAAATTGACCAATGAAATAAAGCGCCTACAGAGCGATGCAGGATGGGAAATATAATCTGTTTACATTCACTATGATTAAGTGTGATTATGAGATCTTATATTAGAATTTAATTAAGTTTTCCCCTTTTCATGGAATAAAAAGAGGGGCTCCTAAATATTTTTGCCGATATGATGTGTAGGCCTAGTATAATTATTTAGAAAAAAAGCGGTTAAATACATGAGGCAAGAGCAGAAAAAAAAATTGTTTCTTGTTTGACACCTCAACTTATTTGCCTTCGGGATATGGGTTTCGGGGCTTGGTTGTTGGTAGTGGCCGTCCTTGCTGAAAGTACCCCCCCCCACACACACACACACACACCTCCCCGCTTCTTTTAACTGTTAAATGTATGATTATGAATTTATAATGTCACACCAAAAGATGTTAAATTTTTAAAAGCACATTTTTTTTTATTGTGAACTTTCCACAGGAATCCTTAAAGGCATGAAAATAAGCTACAATTATAATATGATTATCAAGAACAGTTTTTTTATTTCAATAGTGATGATTGAAAAGTTCGGTGTTTAATTCATTGCTAATAAATTGTTGTGTTTTTTTTTTGGGGGGGGGATTAAATTACTAATCGAACTCCCTCCTTTTCGGGGTTTAATTAGATTTTGAGCCTGCTATCAATATTACTGGTGGACCTGCTAGACTTTTCTCTAATTGCTACATGTACATTGTACTTTAACATGTTTAAACTCCTTGGCCTTTAGCTAAAAAAATTTCCCACATCATTTTAACACGTAAAATTGTTAAATGAATCAGAATGTTGAAAACCTTTTTCTTAGGAGAGTTATATCTCTAGCTGGAACAAAACTAACATCTCATCAAAGGCAGGAGATATAACAGTATTTTAATTCAATATTTTAGTCGTGATTGGTATAAGTGAAGTCATGGGAAAGATTATGTCGAAATTCATCTATACTCGTTGATGTGCAAGGCTGTACTTATGCATACAGCTTTAGCTGGTCCCGCCCTGTATTTCTTTTAATGTTTTTTTTTTTCGTTAAGAAATCTGGTAAGGTATGCTAGTAAAAATAAAATCCCGGTTAGTTTATTACTCTTTCGGAAATTACTTTCCTACAGGCCTGAAGATCGAGTCTATTAGTCAAGCAATGTTTTTTTAATAAAAAGAGTAGCATGTCGGCGAATAAAAATAAAGTAGTGTACACCATAGATAAAGAAATGTTTGTTTGAGTATTGACAAAATTCATACCTTTATAGAATGAAATCAACAAAAACTGCACAAAAATACAATCGTGACAATTATACAATGAATTAATTATACAATTAATTCTTTTAATAGATTGCCTTAGCATGCACTACTTTAAAAGCCATTGTTCTTATGGAAAACAAAATCATGCAAAATATTATAGACTTTTCTTTATCTAGAGCAATGGCCTTTGGAGAAAAAAAAATGGCTGAAATTTTTTTAGTTTGTTAATTATAATGTATGTGCATTTAGGACCCTACATTGTAATTTCATGCGAAAAGTGCAGGCGTTTACTACACGGGGATCTGCGTACATATTTAAACAAAAAAGGGGGAAAAACGTTTTATGTGATGAATTATATTATAAACATTTATCTAATAAATGTCTTTGTAGTACGTTAGATTACAAATTTCACACAAAAACCCATCAACAATATTAAATACAGTTTTGATTTCACATTGATCTATTAACGTCATTCTGATTTAATATAATTATACACGACGAGAATTAAGATCTATTCAATACCTATAGAAAATTATTTAATTTCTAAAGAGGAGAGTTTTATTTTAAATCAGTAATGAAAATTGAAATAAAAATTCTAAATAGTTTGTTCTTTCATTGAACTTCTTAAATGTAGGTTATTTTATGAATATGTTCTCTTGTATAACTTTATTTATGGAATATACAATTTTTTAAATGATAAAAGAAATTCGAATCATCATCTTAATTTAAGAGAATTTTCGGTCGGAGACTGTGTGTGTACATGCTCGACAACAGCCCATTGTTCCCTTTAGGTACAAAACCGTCTCAATTCACATAGAATATACAAAAAATACACAGTGACAGGTGTCTTCGCGGCACGTGTCTCCACCTGATATGGCACGTGAGGACAGGTGTCCCTAATTACACAGGCCGATCATAGTGACTTTTTCAAAAGCGTTTTTTTTGGGGGGGAGGGGCTTCTCAAGAAAAAAAATAAAAAGCAACCCACCCACCCCAATAATAAAAACAATGATTTAATAAATTAAAAAAGACAATATTCACTATTAATAGTAAAATGCTAGTATGATAATACTCAGCCCCAAGCCAATTCGATGAATGATTCTTATCTGACCAGTTTATATTAATATATTAATTCATATTAAAACAAAATCTTTATCAATTTCTAAACTTGTATTTAAAAACTTGAAACACTAAAAATGTAATTTTGACAAACCAATTGAAGTATTTTTTCCCTGACCAATTACCCCGGTATATAAGAAATGCCAACCTCTGGTATCTAACACAAATGCCTGGTAAGGTACCTTGATGTCTTGTGAATACATGTGATTATGTAAAAATAATTTTTCAATGTCAATTGCAAAATATTGGAAAAAAATTAATTATTTTATTGAGGAACGTCTCACCTGTCCTTAATCAGTAATCGTAACTTGACATATTTCTTTATTTACTTTTTAATCGATCTTTTTAGTAAACCTTTTCTGTAAATAATTTCATTAAATGTACCCTTCCTTAGCTCTTCCATTTTTTTCAAAGGAACATTCATCATAGACAGCTTCAAGAAAGTGGGATCGGAATGATTGATTTCTACATAACTGCATGCACTTACTTTTTCCTATTCCACTTCACGCATTCTATACGAGTTTACCAAAACTTATGTGATAAATCAAATTCAAAATTAAATTAAATTAAATAAAATTCAGTTAAATAAAATTAAATTAAAATTGAATTGCGTTCACGGTGCTGAAATATTAAATTAATCACACAGAAATACACATCTAGTTATTTTAACTGTTTGAAGTTAATTATTTTGATACAGCATGTAAACACTTTTGAAATATTTCTATAATTGGTAAAAATATGGTAACATAATTAAATATTTAACTTTTTGTAAAATAAAAGGTAGGTTGGTTAGTATTGAGATATACTTTCAAAGTTTCCCTGCCTGGGAAACATGGGGAAAACTACACATTGGTGGCTTCCATGTCGGGAATCTGTATGGAAACCACTAAGGCATGTTTACATGGTTTCCTATCTTGGGAAACTTACGGGAAACCACAGGTTGATTGTTTCCATGTCGGGAATCTATGTGGAAACCACCGGGGTATGTTTCCACGGTTTCCTATCTTGGGAAACTTACGGGAAACCACAGGTTGATTGTTTCCATGTCGGGAATCTATGTGGAAACCACTATGTGGTTTCCATAAAATGGAAACTATATGGAAACTACTGATGTCACGATTCCCATATGTTTCCATCGGGTTTCCAAATTTGGGAAACCTGGCTTTTCATCCTGTGCTAAAGAGGCAACATATTACTTTTATGAATGTTAAGTCTGCTTTTCATCATAAATAAATATAAATAATTAATTCTCTGAAAAAAAAAACCAAGTTTATAGCCTGCATTGCCTTAAGTTTTTACTGACAAAGAAGTATTAACAGAAGACCTGGAGGGAGACTGAGGTACATGTATTTGTTATGGCTTTAATATTTGTTGTTACTTATAAGTCATTACTTATATGTTGTTACTAATAGGTAGATGTGTGAATTCATGAAGCTATGGAGAATGTGTAGATAAAAAATGAGGTCTGTTAATTACTAAAACAATGTAATTGTCGTTAAAATGTGGTTTTCGTTCGATTTTTACCAAACTAAATATATCTTATATTTTTCATGCAGAAGAAAGAAAATTTGTTTTTTTTTAAATTGAAGTGGGCATCATATGATTTGCAAAATTATTTTTCATTCTTAATTCCAGTAAACAGACAATGACCTTATTTTCCTACTAATATAAAACGATCAAATTTGATTTAACTGATATATTTTCATCATTAAACCATACTGTCTTCTTGAATCTATGAAAATTTCATGCTGATTTATTATGTACAATACCATAAGTACCTTAAATACATATTTCTTTTTTACCTTGATTGGATAATCAAATCCTGGAATGTATCTGGTAGAACCTTTGTGACTTAAAGAGAACTGAACTCCATGACTTTGTAACCTGATGTATGTCGTTGAAGAGACTGTTTTCTCTGTGTTATCTTCGGTAAATTTCACCTCCACTTTCAGTTGGGTCCCATCTACATGATTTGAAACTCGATCGCCGTACGAAAGAAGATCTCTTAAATGACTTAATGGAATTGTAAATTTCTCTTCCTTTGTTACCTGTTATTGACATATATTATTTTAAATACATAAAACATCTAACAAAAAATAAAAGTAACAAGAGAATTAACTTATGATGTAATGTAAAAAAAATCTTACATGTCGAGAATCAGTGAAAATTTGTCCAGACCAATGCTTGAAGCTGCCCGCTAAAGAAGGAATGGACACCGAGATGTTGACCCGCCCTGGGACGGGACGACCGTACGTGTACGTGGCCACAACTGACCCCGAAACCTCCCGATCACTGACCTGTGCCGATTGTGGAAAACTTGTCTCCAACTTGAATTTGGGAAGTACTTGTCAAGAAATAACGAAAGGAAATTAAAATAATTTAAGTTATATAGTATACATGTATAGTATATTATACAGTAATATATATTTTCAAGATAATTACTTTCAACTTTTTGTATTTATTGAAAAGCAATTACCATATTCGTCGACTTTTACGGTTGCCCTCTCTGTGACCCCTTGAGCTGTAACCTTTATGACCCACTCTCCCAGTACAGGCTGACTATCCAAATCAAGGGATTGAGAGATCACTCCATAACTCTTGTTTTGAAGGTCACTCCAATGCTTAATTATATTGGCTTTAGGATCCTTTGGGTAATAATAATAAAACAAAATGAAGTAAATATACAGGCATCAAAAAAATATCAAGTTATCAGGTTGATACATATTCTTCGGTCTCTTAACTTTATAATTTCGATTTTTTTTACTTTAGCTCTTACGGAAAAAGAATTTGGATGAACTTACCTGTATGTCAACGGTGAAATTCCCAGTATAGATAGAACTATTGGGATACAAGGCAAAGCTACGGAATTGAACTACAAAGAAAATCAAATATGAATACAGAATTTAAAAAGAGAAAAAGACATCTCAAATATAAATACAGAATTTAAAAAGAGATGTATTGATTGATTTTTATATTGTTTAACGTCCCTCTCGAGAATTTTTCACTCATATGGACACGCCACCATTTGCCGGTGGAGAGCTGCAAATTTTGTCCTATACTGAGGGCCATTGAGCAGGGAGGGATCTTTTTCGTGCCAGCACCTACTGCGACACGGGGCCTCGGCTTATACGGTCTCATCCGAAGGACCGGTCTCCACGTCCCGCAGTGGGATTCGAACCCGCGACGTAAGGATTGACTCTTTTTGAGCATCAATTGCGCCACGCGGGCGACTTAAGGAGGAACAGGACCTTTAGCTGAAAAAATTCCTGTCAATGAATTTTTTTCGTATTTTTTATATTTCTAAATTAATATGTACTTAACATTTTAAAACGGTCCTGTCATGGGATTTCTTGACTTATTTAAAAGATATCACCCCACAAATACCGCCCTGTTTAGAGTTTGTACGGAGTTTAGATACTTCATGTTTACGGGCCCATAACGGAATCCATAATGCGATTTTTACGCACAAACGATAAATATGATAGATAACACTATATTCTTAAATATTTCATTATATCCATAGTGTTAAATTATCTGAAAGCAATTGTTTTAATTTTATATAGTATTTGGGTTGGATAATTTCTGCATTTATCAAGGCAGCTTCAACGACAAAATCCTCATTTGGAAAAAATTCTGTCAATAAATATTTATAAATTTACGATTGAATGTCAGTCCTTCAACGTAATTATTTACTGCATAAATATCACAGGGTGAAGCTTACCTCAATATCGCACAGGACATCGTTGAATTAGACGTAAGCATGATAAAAACGCTTCACGTTTGTATTTTCCGAGTGCGGGAAATCAATTGTGACGTCACGCGAAAATATAAACATTCAAAATAATTTGAATAGTGAGAATCTCTGCTACTAAACACGAAAAAATATTAATTTTAAAAAATCTGCTTCGGAAATTTATCACGATACATTGACTGTGACCTGTTCATTATGAAATAGAACTGATCATGACGGGTATGTGTACTTGATCTCGTTGCACTGAAAATTCAAACACTACGTCTATGACGTCACTGACGTCAGACTGCAGTGTAAAGAGAAACAATTGTGTGGATTTGGCAACTTCACAATATCTAAATGATGGCAATATCTTTAAAAATTTTATTCATAATAATTTCTTAAATTAAATGTTTAAAAAACAATTTTCTAATTTAAAATAAAATTACACAAGAACTGTTGATTTTAACAACGTTTAACATGTATATCATCACCGATTATGACGTGATATGTCTTTTTAGTCATGTGACATATGTCCTGTCTCCCCTTAAAAAGAGAAAAAGTCATCTAATAACTAAAATAACGGTTACTTTTCTGTCCGGCTTTGTATGTTCCTTTGTCGGTTTGGATGAAGATGGAGATGTTTTGACTTTGTACAAACACATCGGTAGCGTTCATAAACAGAATGCCGCTTGTTCCTTGTAACCGTATCCTATGGTTTCTGGTGCCCGGAGTCAAATTTTTCAAATCTGCTGGAATCTAGATAAATAAAATCATACATTTAAATTAAGTATAAAACATTTTATTGAAAAATGGCATAAATAATTTCCATGTAAGTACTTTTATTCTTTTTTACTTTTTTCGAGGTCTAAAGGAGAATACTGACAATATTCTAAGTAACATACAGTAATTTGTTAATTTAATTGTGATATCATTTTGTCTATAAGTATATCGATTTCAAGTATTTAACAATTCAACACTTGAGACACTGTTATTATCTGTGGCAGGTAGGGGTTAGCATACTGATTATTGAACTAACCTTCAATTGTAATGCTTTTGGCGTATCTAGAAGGGAAAGTAAAAGTTATTACAAATCTAACATTCTTAAAATAAATATTTTCATTAATTTATAATTACTTTTTAAACTTTTTAAAGAGAAGAACTAGTGGTCTAAATGAATGTAATCAAAAGTAGATAAACAAGTCTTAAACTAAACAAGAATTTGTAATGTTATAAATCTTAATAAAACGATATCTCCTCTTTTTTTCGTCACCTTGAAAATATCATATTCAGCGTCATCGCTTTTAAGCCTACAAATAATAATTTAAAAAAGGCAAAGACATAATAGAAGGGAGATTACTGAAGCATTTAACATTTAATTCCCTTTTCTACTTGACAAATTTACAATATCTTCTTTTAAAAGTGCTATTGCGTGTAATGATTTACGAATCATCCACACTGACAATAATTTTATTCTGTGTAATTTCGCTTTCTTACGACTTTGAAAGGTTCCACTAGTTTCTGACAGTACATTAGAAGACAGGTCCTCAAGCGTGGCCCTAACGGTTACATTATTAATGCCGCCTTTGAGGATTGTGACCGTTATGTTTTCTACCAGACCAGGGCGAATTACTTTAGGTGTCAGGATTATGTACGAACTGAAAAAAGAAAGAATAAAAGAGATGTGATGACAACCATTAATTCCCGAAAGGCTCAGAAGAATGATGTAAAGAACAACTGATCTAAATCTCTTCATGAAAAAGCATTTAAACACCTATTAAACAACAAATAACAATTTATATAAGGTTTTTGTTTTCCTTTCTCTCAAGGAAATAAGGTGGGGAAAAATACAATTTCAGAATTTATTTGTTTAATATAAAAAGCACAAAAATCTCCCAAAATAAACGGTAAACATACTTTCTAGCCGTACATTGTCCTAGGATCACACCTATAAGACAAACCGTCAGTAACATTTCTTTTCCTGAAAAAAAATATAGCAAATTCGACATAACTGTAAATAATGATACAGAAGGAAATAGTTTTGTAACTTATTAAGCCATCACTAAGTGTATGGTTTTTCTATAAAAGACATAACATATCACTAAATAGTCTTGCACCATGTCTTGCACCAAATAGTACTTTTTATGAAATTTATGGTAATTCGCAATATTACAAGTATGTAGTTCACAATATTACATGTAAAGAATATCAAAACTGTTATTATGTTTTCCTGGTCATACCAGGGACAATAAATAAATTATACTTCACGTTATATTTAATTATTAAAATACAAATTAGTTTTCATAATATCGATTCTTTGAGGTTATAGTTTTGTATAAATAACAATAAAACAGAAAGACAAGAATGAAACAAGAGTGCACTGAGTGATTGTGCTATGTATTATATAAATTGGTTAATGGACAGTATCATTCACATGAGCACAGTACAACACTATAAAAATTCAAAAAGAATATGACATATAACAAATAAATTAACTCTGTAAACTGATACCTGAAATTTTTTGACAACTACAAACAATTAAAAAACATAAAAGTACATTTTATAATATATATTAAGTTTTTAAAACATTTTTTTATTTAAGGACGGATGATACAAACAAAAAATGGATGCCTAGATGGGTATATATTTTTTGACCTAATTTCATTGCAAATGATGCAAATAATATTTTTCTAGAATATAGAGAAATTGTAAACCTTCTGTGATATTCAAAATTCTACCCTTCCAAAACCATCCTCATTATTCTATACAAATATTTTCTTTTCAAATTCCATTTTTGTGCAACTTTGAATAAAAAATTAAAAACTACGCGGTGAAACTTTTTCTTTTTATTCAATAAAACATGACCCAAATTGCTTGCATCCAAACTTTTGGCAAAAGTTTTAACATCTGTCCTTAATGAAACATCATATAAATAGTGCGTGTAGTTGAGTGTAACATTAAATATTTTCACCCCAAGAAAACCAATGTCAACCGAGGCGCAGCCTACAAGTGACAATCACTCATACTCATGGTTCCCTTTCTAAGGAAGAAATTCTTCAAAATTATATGTCAGTTTTGAATATTTTTAATATCCCAAAGAACCAAAATGAATTTGAACTACCATATATATATTGGATTGCGAAACTTCATTAGAATTCTTACAAAGATATATACGAGGGGTTATCAAAAAGTTCGTGGACTGAGGCTATAAAATTAATACTATGTAGTCTATACTTTCAAAATTTATAAGGGACATAAAGCAAAAAAAAAAATAAAGAAATGTTGAAAATTTTAGCTTGATTCGTTCGTAAAATATGATAAAATAAAAAAGACATTATATGGTTACCCGGCGCCGTCGCCGTTTAGTTTCATGACGTCCCAAAACGTCATTGTTTTTCAATGTCCGCTTCTTCTACCTCATACACTTAATTTGATGAGATTCCTTGGAGTTGAGAAAGGACTTAAACCCGTCTTGTTTTTATGACTTTACAATGTCAGGAACAGCGGCTTTAAATGCAAATAATATTACAAATGGATTGATACATTGGGAGAGATCCTCGCTCGATTGTGCCAGCATATTTTGCTTTTGGAAGTTTAATATCTACAACATATGATCAAAGTCATTTTTTGACGTGAATGATTTTTCACAACCTTGACTAAGAATCGACATAAACTGTGCATCCCTTTTCTCTCTGAACCTCTTTTACAATAAAAACAAGTACTCTGGATGCATTTAATTTCTCCATAGCCAGTTTAAACATTTCCTAGGTCTATACCACTTTTTTCAGGGCCAAAACTTTATAGAATGTTGGAAATGAAACCCCTCCCCCCTTTTGACGCCATTTTCAAGGACTTATTTGTTTAGATACTCCGTGTCAAATTTACGATAAATTTTCATAGAACTTTCAGAATGAATTGAAAACTTTTTATTTTTTGAAGCAATAGTTTCCCAACATATACCTGAATTAATCAGAATTTTGGATGTCAAATGTTCATATCAAAAGAGTTTTTCTTAGTCATGCTTCGGTAAAAAAACCCGCCGTATTCGAGGTTGCGCCGCCTGGACATACCATAGCTTACAAAAACATTACTAATATATTTAAAAATAAAATTCATGATCTTTGGTTTATTCTATAGATAGAAAAGATGATGCTAACCAGATATTTTAAAATTCATTTATGTACCTAAAGCGGTTTTAATTTTATGGCGCCAGTCCACGAACTTTTTGAAAACCCCTCGTAGTATGTTCCAGTAAATGTTCAGCCAAGCCTCTTTCTTTACTCCTCACTATGATATCAACAGAAGTGAAGGAGAAACTTCAAGAGTACTGTGCAGCAATATATTCATGAAGTGGTGTTAATCAGATGTGGATACAGAAAAAATTCCAAAGAACTTTTGGACAATTTGAAATCACAAGATTTAACCAAAATCAACAGCCTAAAAACTTACGACTTTTTAACTTTATCTACAACCATTTCCCATGATTAATTAAAGACTAGGCTTTTCGATATCATCGACAGCTGCTTTTTTTTAAATGGAACTCGAAAATTTCCTTACCTTGTCATTGGTCATTTGCAAGATTATTTTGTTAAAAATCATTCTGATAGTACACACAAGTACTGGGAAGTCGACATAAAAAAGATGCTTGAGTTTCCGATTGACAATATCTATTTTTTTCTTGTAAAAACCAGGTCTTCCAACAATCTATTAGAATACCCATGGGTACCAATTGCGCCCCGGTATAAGCGGACCATTTTTTGTATTCACATGAAGCAGATTTTGTGCAAAATCTTATGCGTAAAAAGAAGAAAACACTTGCTGTGGCCTTCAACTCGACATTCAGCTATACCGACAACGTATTGTCAATTAACAATGGTAATTTTCATTCTTATGTCGATGCAATATATCCTTGTGAGCTAGAGATAAAAGATACCACAGAATCTGACACCTCTGTTTTATATTTAGATATTTTACTTGAAAACGACGTTAATGAGAATCTAACAAGCAAGCTCTATGATAAACGTGATGATTTTAACTTTACCATCGTCAACTCCCCTTACTCATTTAGCAATATATCTTCATCACCTGCATACGGAGTTTACATTTCTCTGTTGATTAGATACGCAAGAGCATGCTCTACGTATGAACAATTCTACAACGAGGTAAATTATTAAAAAGTTGATGAAAGAAGAATTTCCGTCGTCTTGTTTAAAGTCGTCATTTCGTAAGTTCTATGGTCGATACAATGAACTTATCAGAAAATATAATTTATGATTGAGTCTAATGCTGACTGACGTTTTTTCATACTAATTGTTAGTCCATTATTTATACACTGAAGTGAAGACAGATTTTTCCGTTATCTCCCGCTCATGACATTGAGCACACAGCGGGAGTGACCTGTCGGCAAGGGATGTTCAATCCTCCATGGCACATGATCCCACTTCTTATGTTTTAGATGACCATGTTTGCTCTGCTGCTGTTTTGTATTGATTGATGGACTTTTGGTCTTGAATACTGTTCGTTATCTCCATATGTTTATTAAACTACTTTATTCTTTATAGCATTATTTACGAATAAAATAAGTATAGATTTTGAACATGTAATAATTAATAAACGTGCAGACTTTTCGCTCAGCTAACAACTACGTCGGTACGAAGGATTTTAGAATTACAACATATCTTCACAACGGTTGCCAATATCTTAACCTCTCTATATAAATCTTACCTTTTGAAATGATGTCGATTTCCACTGACCTGTGTTTTATATATAGAGAGACAGAAATTAGATGCGGGGGACGTAGTACTATTTGTAAACTTAAGCACAGTTTTGCTATTATATCACCAATATTCTGTGATTTCCTTGTTTCAATATGATAAAGTGTGTCAACTAGTGCACTTATCAGTACGAGTTCCGGTAGTACAGGTGTACATATGCTTTTATCCCAGATACTCCTCTAAACTTACCTTTCTGAACGAAATATTTTCATTGCTTAAAGACTGAATTTAGACTACTTAATAAACGATAATATCATTTTTTTTAAATCGAAGTAAACGTATAATGCATTTTTTTTTTCGGAAATGCGCAGTTTGGTTTTAGTTCTAATTTTGCTGAATACTTCAATTATGGAATGTCAGAAATTATGATGTCTTATATTGGTTAATATAATATAATTAAAGTAGAATTAAATTGAATTAGAATTCAGCTCTCTTAAAACATTCAATACTAGAAATATCAATGCATCCACACTGTGAGTAAATTTTTACTGTGATGTTTGAATGTTCTCATGAATACAACATCGGTGTAGAAATCCTCAAAAATCTGAACAAAGATAATTTCTTTTATTTTTAACATTAACTACCTGAAAGCTTTTGATTTCTGCTCTTCAAATACATTGAAACCTAAGGACGATGGTTTTTAAATTCTGCGTTTTAGGTTTATGTCATCTGTGTACGGAATTTATTTTTTATCAGATGCAGGCTACTTGCGCATATGTTGATTCAGATATCAATCTCATGGAAATTCAGCAATTCGGATATGGTCTGTGTAAGGTGAATTGTAAAATGCTGTTAAAGTCTGTCGCTACAAGGTGCATGTGACTTGACGACAGGACGGAATGCATCCTCGTGGCACCTGACCTGATTTTTCAGTTCTATTTGCATTCCCAATTTGTATTTTATAACAATTACTTTGTTTCTTTGAGAATGATGACGCCCTAGTAAGGAATTTCTACCATTATTTACCAAAACTTTACCTTTTGAATATAAATCTGAGATCGAGTTTATGAAAGTCATGACAAATATTTGATATGTTACTATAGAATAAAATCTTAACAGCAAATATGTTTCATCGTATAACAAGTGAACTTATATGGAAAAATAAATATGCTGTCATTTTTTTTTTTTGGCTAAAGTATTTTTAGCATTTAAAAAATCCCTTATCATTATGGTATTTATAAATACTGACTTACAAAAACAACATACATTCAATTCGTAAATCATTAGATACTGGGTAATTAAAGATTACAATACCTTTTACACTTTGATTTGTCTATATTCATAGACATGAGATAAAGAAAAGTAACAGAATCTGACACATCTGTTTCATACCTGGATATTTTACTTAAAAAGACATTAATGGTAATCTAACAACCAAGCTCTATGATAAATAAGATGACTTTAACTTTTCTATAGTAAATTTTCCGTACTTATGCAGCAATATACCTTCATCACATGCAGTTGATTCGATATGCAAGAGCATGGACTACGTATGAGCAATTTCTAAAACGAGGTAAATTTTTGACAAACAAGTTAATGAAATAAGAATTTCAGCTGTCTCGTTTAAAGTCATTATGTCGTAAATTCTATGGTCGATGACCTTGTCAGCAAATACAATTTATCACTGAGTCGAATGCTGACTGACGTTTTTAATATTAATTGTTTATTCATTTATTTAATTAGGCCTATATATACATTGAATTGACGACAGGCTTTTCCGTTATTTCCCGACCTGGACAAGGAGCACAAGGCGGATGTAACCGGTCAGCAGGGGATGCTCACTCCTCCATGGCACCTGATCCCACCTCTAATGTTTTGGAGGTCTGTGTTTGCTTTGCTCCTGTTTTTGTATTGTTTTATGGACTTTGATATTGAATACTGTTCGCTATTTCCATATCCTTCATGCTCTATTTTGACGGTGAAATGAAAAAATAATGCAAGTAAGTACCAACACTTTATGTCAGTGTATTCAATGCATATACTGTATTAACAGAAAGATATCCAAACAAAACAGCTCCACTGCTGTTTTAAGTTATCATAGGTCGATTGAACATGTTAGTACTTGCGCAGCATAAATCCATCATTCACATGTATTTATTTAAGTCCTAAGGGTCTGTAATTGTTAAAGTGCATGTACTCTGGGCACGATTGCAGGTTTTACAACACAATGTTATATAATTTGGATCGGACGTTATGTTAATTTGCAAAAAATATATGTTGAAAAAGCTTCGTACAGAAAAAAATCTATCGGCCTACATCTAAGAAAATAGTCTTTCAATCACTATCACTTTGAGAAATAATAAATTTAGAAACTCTTTCTGAAGTCTTAGATAATTAGCCATAAACATTTCAAACATGTTAAATGAAACGAAAATTTGCAAGTGCCATAATATTTATATAGTTTATAGAAAAGAAATATTTGAATTGTTTGTAATGCAATTAAATCCATGACAACGATTAGTTCCTAGTCTCTATTATGTAACAGGAATGCCATATGTTCATGCAATTCAAAACTACTTTTCTCTCGATTTTTTGCAGTCTCAATTTAAATATTTGGCGTCATTATGAGCATAAAAAGCTATATTGATAAGACGCAAAGTTTGACAACAGAACTACACAGAAATAAACCTAAATAAACGCCATGATGTGCAAGATATATAAATCATTGTTACAAAATTGTGTCTTTGTTTTTGAAGAACGTACATGTAAGCCTATAACGTATACTTTTTTAACAGTGATTAAGCATGGTTTTTACAGGGAGCATAGAAAATCTACTTACCTGAAAAATAGAAACAAGCAAATAAACGGGGAATGTGAAAACTGTCCAAAATCCAAAATCCTATTTCGTGGGTTGGGGTGGGAGGTTAATTTCAAACTTCCATCAAGACCATTCTTTAAGCATACATACCACACCACCCTTAGTTGACTATACTGCAACAAAAAAATGTTTATCCCTTTTCATTGCACATTTTCAATTGCAATTGTAAAAAGTTAGGGGACTTGGCCCTTCTCATGCTATGTGCATGTAAAAAGACCTTTCATTAAATCTGTTTCTCCTAATAATTTATTTGCAAATTAAAAATCATCTTGTGCTGAACAATTTTCGATTTCTTTGATATATTCAGTATGAAATTTTGATTTCTAGTATTTTGATTACTCCGCCTTAATATCTTTTTTATTGCATCAGTGAAAAATAATTTGAAAATAAAATATAAGAATAGCGAACAGAAATCAAACTCACAAAAGCCCTTCCATTATTCGGGCAACAGAACAAATTGGAATCAGAGCTAACAAGGACCTCTTTAAATAGTAGAGAATGGATCAGGTGCCATAGAGTAGGAAACATGAACTTCCCAACCGATCATGATCTGTCAAACAGGAAACTCATAGCTAATTAAAAATATATATCCTTTAACAATTTTTGCCTTAAGCTTGTTAAATAGAATTGAAATAATCCAATAAACTGGACTTCATCCAAGTGTAGTTAACAGCCTTAAAAATTAATTGTTGTTTCTAGTAGAATGACATGTTTTTGAATAAGTATTTTACGTTTGCGCAACATGGTTATCATCAAATCTTAATGAAAACTATGTGGGGAGAAAAAGGCAAGCTCTTCTTTTTATCATACAAAGATGTCTTGTATTTTGGGGAAACATAAAGTAATTAAACAAAAAAATGTTAAAAAAATTTTAAAGTTTTTTTGTCGCCTGCGTGGTGCAGTGGTTAGAGCGTCTGCTCTAGAGTCACGAATAAAGGAGTCGATTTTTACTTCGCAGGTTCGAATCCCACTGTAGGACGTAGAGACAGACAGGTCCTTCGGATGAGACCATATAATCTGAATTCCCGTGTCGAAGAAGGTTCTGGTACGAAAAAGATCCCTCACTGATCAACTAAAAATAAGAGTAGCGTGACCTTGACATATACGAAACAACAAAACGGCCCTCAATTCTTGCAGTTTAATTGTCATATCTTCGAGTGCCGAGTATAGGACAACATTTGTAGTTCTCTACCGGCAAGTGGCATCTCTTTAGAAACATTTTCCTAAGTTGCCAATGCAGGACTGCAAAGTTTGACATATTCGGCAATAATCAGTGAGAAATCTTTTGTCGTTCCAGTACCTACCGCAACCGGGACCTCGATTGATAAGTTTTCATCCAATGGAATGGTCTCCGCGTCCGCAACGGATTCCAACCCGCAAAGTTAGTCTCAACTGTAGAGGTAACCCTCTCACCACAACATGCGGGCCAACAGTGAACGAAGTTGGTTTTACAGTTGTAATTAATTTTGTTTCGTCAAGTTAGTAGAACCTGTTAGACTTTAATAAGCTTAACAATGTCTGTCAAAGATTTCTTCATAATACATCAGTCAAAATTTTATTAAAAAATATTTTTGCATCAATTGCAAATTTGAAACTCAAATATGTTTTTAAGCTTCCAAGTTAAGTATTTATGTAATAGTAAACATATTGGGTCAGCAGTTGTTTCTCTCCGGAACTTTTACATGGTTTTGTGGGTGGAGCATCATCGTATCAGTATCGGAAACAATTAACTTTTTTTCCTGCTGTGAGTGATCTGTATTATTGTTTGCACATCTCTGTTACTTTTTAAATGGTTAATTGATGTCTGTGTTTGTTTGACCTATTGTCTTTACTGCACTTCACATATGTGTACATTAGATTTTCAAATTATTACGAAATATTTATAAAGAGCCCAATTGATTTTCCAAAAAATTCAATTTTCAATATGCAACTTTCTAAATTCTTAAATATAATGTGCATAAAGTTAACAACTATTATGCAGAGTTCCACAAGTTTGGTCAATATTTGACGTGGACAATTTTGATAACTGAGCTGTCTTTAAAGAAAAAGAAATCTATTGTTTATAATAATACTCAGTGTACATTTATAGATGAACTTGTCTCAGAGATCTGCATAATTCCTCAATATCCTGTTCAAACCCTTATAACTGTTTAAAACACATGTGAAGATGAAGACTGTAATTCCTAGCATTTCCCTTATATACTGTACATTTGTTACGGGGATTTGTAGTGAATTTTCTGTCACTGCTTACAGTAAACGTTTGGGGAGGGATGTACGATCCACACAGAAGTTGAGGGGTCTTAGACAATGTGTCAGGGATTGTGTAGACAGGGGACAGTGTAAGGCTGTGAATTATGATAGAGAGAGTCTGCAGTGCCAGCTTCTAGGGGACTCCATCACAGATTTATCACAACTCATGGACGATGACAGCTTTAATTTCATAGATGTATCCACGCAATCGACTGTAAGTATACCATTCACGAATATGTTCTTTTTTAATCTAACCGTGAACTGCATTTTCAACTCAAGTTAGAGCTTCTAATGTAATATAGATAGATACTTCATTTATTCCCGTGATAATTATTGTTTCATTTTATTCTGATCTTTTACGAAAACGATGTAGAAATATTTCATGCTTCAACTAAAGAATGCACTCTTTGTAACAATTACTCAGCAATCCTTATTGCAAATATTGGACTTGTTCTAATGAACACTAATCGTACTTAGATGTAACGGAATTCAAAATTAATTGAAATTTAAATAGAAGATACGCCTGTTGAGTCCTATAGTCTTCAACATAATTTATTTCTAGGGGTTTCCAGCATGCACCATAACATGCACATATGGAGTTTGTGTGAAAATTTCACCTGGAAATGAATACTGCTCAGGTAAACCTCGTACAAAATGATGAATGTTTTCTTCAATGCATCCCCAATATTTCTATACGTGTATCTACCGTCCTTGATCAACAAAGTACTATTATTTTCTTTACACCGTATAATATAAAGTTGAATCTGATTTTCAAGAGGATTAAAATGGGCCCCAATCTTTCAAATGATTTTCCCACAATCTCGCTTGGCCAAGAAGCCTTCATTTTGTAGATAAATGATCTTTGAATCAAATTACATTTCTTTGTCAGTACCTGCTTGTCCCATGACTTATCGGTACTCCACTGCTTTGAACTTTTGCTACACTAAAGTGGAGGTCAGTAAGAACTTTACAGATGCTTATTCCTATTGCAAAACTATTGGATGTCGATTGGCTGTTCCCTCAACTATGGAGCATATACTTTTTTTGAGAGAAGGTAAAGTTTACTCAATGAATATAAGAGAACTTGCATACATCTAAGTGATTTTTGTTTGCATTTTTGTTTGCGTAACGTCCCTTTATTTCCCTCATATCGAGAAGCCACCACTTGCCGGTGGAGAGTTGCAGAGAAATACGCACGCTAACTTGATATTCCCGCCTACATTTTGCACCCATTTAATTCAATATAAATAACAATCTGGCCATAAAATCTTTGTTTTATACAAAGAACAGTTGAATGGTAATTAATGAATTGTCTTAATACCAGCGCTAAATAGTATACTATCCATAATTCAAGCTCTTGAAAAAAGGGGGTAGACGATATTTACCATTGAAATCGGACTTTCAATCATAACAATATTTTGAAATAAACTTGGGTATGATTCAATGTTCCTTATATCTTTTCTTATGTTTTAGGCAAATAAATAAAACATAAGTATGTTAATAATGAAGTTTTCCGTCCAATTTTTTCTTTGATACATCGATCAAAGGAAAAAAAATATTACATTCATTTCTTAAGTGAAAATACGTTTTACCAACATTTTAGCGTTAACTTCTTTGTTTTATGAAAATCCAAATAATTATCAACAAAAATATTTTTTTTTAAAAATCATTGAATATGTTAACTTTTAAAAATTGATTTGGAGGTGGGCGTCAGAACAATTCTATCGTTCGCAGATCTTTAGATCACTCGTCATTCTTTGCCATTGGGCAATGAATGATCTCTTTTAAAGCCAGCACCATTTGCGATATGGGACCTCAGTTTCTACAATTTCATTCAAGGCATAAAATTTGAAAATGAATTTTAAAAAGTTAACGTACATACAAAAAGGTATGCAATCAGTTGTAAATCATATATGTACCATTATCCTTGAGCTAAGGGCTAAAATCATTGGTTTTTGGCATGTGTATAAGACGAGTATTTAAGTGTTTCATCTTAAAGTATTATATTATTTCATGTCAACATTTTAAATAATATTATGTATGGTAACCCCTTGATATGATGTGAGACGTTTTCTTTTTTATGTGTTCAGAATTCAATGCGGGATACTTGGACAATGATTACAGAATAGGCGGCCAATGGGACACGGAAGAAGGAAAATGGATGTGGATAAATGGAAAAACAGTATTTGATGATATAAATTTAAGTTTGTCTGATTTTGAAGAAATTGAATCCAGCAGTGGAGAATTAATTTGGAGCAAAGAAGACGATCTCTCTCAGATAGATACAGGGCACGGAAAGAAATTCTTATGCGAGAAAGTACTGTTTTAAAATTTTTATAAGTTTTTCACTGGTTTTACAACGGATTTTCCCGTTATTTCCCGATAATGACAAGGAGCACAAGGCGGGTGTTACCGCGGTCAGCAGGGGATGCTCACTCCTCCATTGCACCTGATCCCATCTCTGATGTTTTGGAGGACCGTGTTTGCTCTGCTCCTAATTTGTATTGTTTTATGGACTATAGTCTTTGATATTAAATACTGTTCGTTATCTCCGTATCCTTCCTTACAAACCATTTTAAAACGCAAATGATGTTATTAACGTGTATTTTGTAATTCAATGCTGCCTTCTTATAAAGAAATAATGGGAACTAGCTTAAATGTTGTAGTTTGGTGAATTAATAAAGCATTGCATTAATATATTTGCTTTTAATCCTATCATATGTTTGGTTGTTGTTAGACGCTGCACAATTTTTACATCGCTGTCAATAATTCCCCTAGTCAATATCATGCCAGTTTACATTTTTCTTTCGATGAAAGACCCGATGAAATAAAAAATAAAATCGTAAAAAAGTAATTTTGAAACAATAACGTTTTTAAACAACGAACAGTTGCTTTTTCAATAATAAAAGATCTTATCATTACTCATTTGCAATATTATTTTTGTTGAAAAACATTCTAATTTAAGACAAAAGTATATATAAAAAAATCTTCAAAATTATATTTTTTTTCTACTTTCGTCTTTATTATTTTAATCAAATCTATGTTGTTTTTTTTACAACGTATGTTTTTGCACATGGTTTAGGCAATTTTTTTATGGAACTCATTAGTAAAACAAAACTCTGGCAAAATTAATTTTATGATTTAAGAGCACTGTCCAGTTTCAGTTTTTCTTAATGAATAAGATTGTGATCGACAAAATTTGTGTCATGTAATCTTTTTCCATTTTTCTCATTTTGTGCATGTTTTTTCAATAACTAAACTTTTTTATTCATATCTTAAATAACTGATTAGATAATATCGAATTTTTTACTTGAAAAACAATGAACAATAAAGATGAATGTTTGTTGAAAGAGGAAATGTTTTAGAAAGTCTGTTCTTTTTTATCGATATAACCTCTATCAATACAAAGTGTACCCGACCGCCCGGTCAATATTATATTAAAAGGAACTGATTATAATAATTGATGTTTCTAATTAATCATACCTATTTTCTTCATTGGAAATCTAAATTTAATGATGAACATTCTCGACCGAACATCATTTTATCTCAACCTGTAACGAAAACAAGATCATGATTTTTTCCTTTTATATAATATTTGCTTCGTATTTTACCCTAAAGTTGGCCTTTTGTGGTGAATTTTCTGTAACTGCTTATAATAAACGTTTGGGGAGGGATGTACGATCCATGCTGAAGTTGAGGGGTCTAAGACAATGTGTCAGGGATTGTGTAGACAGGGGACAGTGTAAGGCTGTGAATTATGATAGAGAGAGTCTGCAGTGCCAGCTTCTGGGGGACTCCACCACTGATTTATCACAACTTGTGGACGATGAGAAATTTAATTTCATACACATCGCATCTCAGGGAACGGTATGGTATTAGTCATGTGAGAAACCATAGAATACGTTAATGAAAACACAATGCATAATTTGAAAATTATGTTAGGTTTCCAAATCATAATTTTCTATATAACATATGATTCTTAATCAATTTGAATTGACCCATTTTGCACTAGAAATTAATACAAAGTACACGTATTTCTACATTTTAAATTATACTTTGATGTTTAAAATTCTTTTATTAGATGTTTTGGTTGAAACTGTAGCACAGTTAGTGCCTGCGTTATCATCGTGTATTTTCCCTTAATACAAGTACGCCAGGACCATTAATTCCTACTTTATCGCCATGATTTCTCGGTCCAATCTTTACCATTCGCTTTTGCGTTGCCTTGCTCCATTGCTCTCTTCTAAACATTGTCGCCTCATTTATTATTTTCTTTTTGGCAATTTCACCTACGTTTCTACTTTTTCTTCCTGACGTTTATTTCTTATTTTTTTTTCTCTTAATCTCATCCATAACTCTGTCACCTTTACGTTCCCTACTTTGAAGATACTTTGCTTTCTAATATAATCCTAACATCGTAGCGTTAATTCCTTATTTATTTATACAATAAGCTGACTTATTCGCCCCCTTCCCACCCTTTTCTCTCATTCTGATCCATCACTGCTTCTTTCCCTTGGCCCTCTTCCTTTTCATTTGTACTTTGATTCTTCATTGCTCCCATGCCTTTCATTCCTGCTTTTCTGGCTTACTGTTCTCATCTGTGTCGTCCTTGGTTTTTCAGATAAACCCGTAGTTATCTCTCTCACCACTACTTTGCGCCTTTGTCTCTAAGCGACGTAGCTGAAAGATATTCAGTCGCCGTATCGGTATCTCGTAACAGAACCCTCTCAATACACTTTGAAGACATATGTAATAGATCAATTCATTCAGTTATGAATTATTAAAAATTGAAACAACATTGAAGATTTAACATTAAAAGATATTTTCATTCACCTAAAACGCATACAAAATGAATTTAAAAGAAATTTATATATAAAGGCATTAATATACGTATGTATTTATGCTTGATCATGTATCTTACATATTGTCCACAATTTTTTGGTTGTGTTTTTGTCTAAGGAATAACTCTTAGACCTGCTCAGATTTTCATTTTAAAAAACCTACGGTCGTAGGGGGATACTCACTCCTCCTTGACACCCGAACCCACCTCTGATGTATTAGAAATCCGTATTTGCTCTGCTTTTGGTTTGTATTGTTTGTATGGACTTTTAAAAAATCTGGTTTTTTAAAAATTCTGTTCGTTATATCCACATATTTAACCAATACTTGTTCACTGCTTTTTGTTTCATACACTTTTTAAATTCAATTTAATGTCATTCCATGAACAAAAAGATCATAATACGTTGTACACAGAACTTTACTTCTATATATTTACATTTGGCAATGTCTTTCCCTATATGACAATACTAAAAAAATGACATTCAATTTTCAATGACATGCAGTCGGTCACATGATCAGAGTTTCTTGTGTATGAAGAGTAAATTGCAAGAGACATTTGAAAAATCTTGACTGTGACGTCATATGACGTCGTATATTAACGTTATGTTGCATTCAATAACAAGGTCTAAATAGAGCATTTTCACTTTGTAATTCAAATAGAAATAAAAATATTAATGTAAGAAATAAGATATCATTTTTAGAGTGTCAATGGGATATGACATTAAGTCGGTACGTGATCAAATCTACTATAACGCCCTTCGGGCGTTATAGAATTTGATCACGTGGCCGACTTCAGGTCATATCCCAATGACACTCTAAAAATGATATCTTATTTCTTAAATCAAAATTATCTCTTCTCCAGGAATAAGGTGTTATGAATAAAAAAAACATACAATTTTATTTAGCGGTGGCATCATATCAGCTGTAAATAAAAATAAAAACTTGATGCTAAAAGTGTTGTAATTTATTGATAATCATATTTAGCGATGAAAACTTATCAGCTGTAAATGAAAATAGATAAAGCTTAATGATACAAATGTTATACTTTATTTATAATCATTTGAAGTTTCGGTATCCTTTGTTTGGCCAGGTCTTTTCCTCGTGCAATACGTCTTGTACAAGAGGAGTATGTGTAAAGCTATCTTCAGGAATTGATTTCTGCGCAGGTGAATATTTCCTACACAATGTCTTTTTTAAAAAATGGATTTTCTTGTCCTTGAGAACTTCAAGTGCTTATTACGGTTGCTTATTATTAATATAATACTTCATGCATATACTTTGTTTTCCTGAATTTTTTTTTTTATTGAATTGCAAACTGACTTAATATTGGTTTTAAAAATGGATACGTTCAATGGTTCATAGAAGGCACTCAATTTTGGACCCGATTTATTTTTAAAGCAAGAATCTTTTAATTTTAAAATACATGTATTTAAAATTTATATTGCATGTGAAACACTATTTTCAATTTTCAGGCTATATTTATTTATACAAGTACTATGGAATAATTTTATATTTAAACAAAATTCAATTCTAATATACAGTGCCTAGCTGTCCCTTGACTTTTCGTTACTCAAGTCAACTGAATTTTTGCTACATAAGTGTGGACAGCGGAAAGAAATTCGCAGACGCTCAGGCCTATTGTGAGACGCTGGGATGTCGATTAGCCGTCCCTCGAACTATGGACCATATAATGTATTTAAATTCAGGTATATTTACCAAAACAAAGAGATTTCTCTCAGTGATTTAACGACCATGAATTCATAATTAGTTCAATGTTTTGTAAAGATTTAATCATTAGAAAGTTACACTGAAGTTTGTCATTTGTTTCATATTGCATCCGATATTACTTAAAAAAAGAAAATAAAATCAATCGTTTCGTGGATCAGACCCTTTGTATTTCCCAAGAAATGCATTGATTAATTATTAATTATTCATAGTTTACTTAGAAGATGCTTGGCAAATTATTATTAATTTAACCACGATTCTGGCAGGCTTTTGACTTACAGAATCTTTATTATTCTATTCTATGCACGTTTTCAAAAATATCTATATTTTAACAGAACATGTATGATGTCATATATTTTTTATGCGAGGGAAACAAAGAAGATGGTCATTATATTTCAGAATTCATAATTTAATATTGACAAAGGCGTTGAATATTTCTGTCTGTAAACTGAAGTACAGCAGTTTTGAATCAAACATAAGCGATGATCTATGTTTTCATATAATTTTGTTTATATATTGACGATGTCTAGGCGCCAATCCAGGCAAACAATGACGTTCATTTTAAATCCTATTTTTGCTCAACTTAAAAAGACCTTATATTTGTAAAAAGACAAAGAAATATAATTATCTCCATAAAGTAAAACTTAATTATCCTGTTGTTTTACATAAAGCACATATTATTGCATTTAAAAAACAAAATTATTTAAAGACAGACCAAAATTAGATTGAAATGAAATATATACTAGTACATGTAAATGAACGAGTATATATAAGAATATTAAAGAATTAGTATATTGACGTTTTTTTGTATAATTATTGTTATTAATTGAATATTTACGTACTTTTACTGCTTTTCAGAGTTTTCTAATGGTTACTTGAACAACAATAAATACAGAATAGGAGGACAGTGGAGCACTGAAGCCGGAGAATGGAGGTGGATTAATGGAAACACCGTATTTGATTCTGTAAATCTTAATTTAACAGACTTCGACATTTCTTCTAATAGTGGAGATTTGATGTGGGACAGTGACTCAAATCTACGCCAGATAAACACAGGAAATGGTGAAAAATACTTGTGTGAGAAAGTTCTATAATATTCTATAGTTTTTTTAAGAGAGAAAAGTAAATTCCTTAAAATTGCTATGTATTACAAATGACTTTCAAGGCGATAAGAAACAAGATTAAAAAAATAAAAATAAAGAAATGTCATACATTTGAACGTGTACTTTGTTTATTCAAGAAATAAATCAGTACGGCATTGTCAAACTGTAGGCAAAGAATCGTTACAAAATATAGAAAGAAAAGTTTTTTTTTCTTTGTGAAAGTAGACAACATTGAAAAATTGTGTTTGTTAAACTAACAACTTTTCTTAAATTCTTAATGTCGACACAAAACCATTTTTGCAATATTTTGTTGCATTTCCTTTCTTCCTTTTCTTTCTTCATTTTTAAAAATTTTAAGCGGAATCCCTGATTTGGATGATCTTGACAATAATTGATCGAATGACATGGCATGCTCTCACATTTAATACACCTGATCCCACCCGATGTGTCTTTTTGTTGGTGATTTTGGCCTGTTCACGGTTCGTTTTGTTTACAGGATTTACAACATTGTTCTATTTCTCTGACCTTCACCATTTATACATTTATTTATTTTTTCTATACATTTTTTCGTATTCAGAAATTGTTTTTGACAAAGAATATTGACATAAAAATAAGAATTTATTGTGCCAAATATTAAGATGGAGCTAATAATGGAAACAAATATGCAAATTTTACTGGTAAATCAATTAACACAACTTATTTGTTCAAACTCCATCCATATTCAATTATTAAAAATATTGATTTAATGCCATGTGAACAGAAAAAGTTTAAGCAAGACAATTAAAGGGGACAAAAGAATGCACATTTATATATTAATTATTAGTTATTCTGTTATTTAATTGAAATACTAGTACTTGTTTTCATTATGGTATTCTTAGATTATCTAGAGACAGGTCATAAACATAGTTAGAATGCTTCATATTCACCCACAATGAAGCAGAAAAATTTAGGATCGGCACGAAACGATTTAGGAGAAAATAAACCTACAATGAATAAATACATTACAAATAAACTAAACACATTCTTTTGTTAAAATGGGTCCTTAAGACACTATTTTAGTAATAGAACATTGTTTTTAAGCATAGGTAAATTCTGATACTAGAAACAACTTAAGATAATTTTTTACTTTAGTAATGAAAATAGTCAGTAACTTAGATCTGCCAAACTAACCCATTCAGAATGTAGAAATATCCCCTTTACCGTATAATTATCGCTGGGAATATAAGACATTGGGCCTTTTTAGTTCTGAAATTATCCTTTCCAACAACATAACAATCACACACATATGAAAGAGAGAGAGAGAGAGAGAGAGAGAGAGAGATTAACAAAAAAACAAAGGGCATTTTAGTTACTCGTTAATATCCACACAAAAGTACTGCTACAATACAAAAAGTAAAAGATGTTTATGTGTGATAATTTTCAAACATTAACACCAATTACAGTCAAATTACAGAAAAGTGCATCGTAAAAGTAATAAATTATCCAATTAAAATCTAGAGCTCATTTACTGTTAGGGTTTTGGTACAGACAGCAGTACATCCTCATTGATCTTAGAGATTCATTCAGGGTAAACTTTCAAGTTTCTCTGTAAGGCGTGTATCGAATATCGAGTCATAAAAATTACCAACAATAGTGGCCATAATGAGATGTTTTACAACCACATTTTCAAACGATGAGTTTTGTCCATTAAAAAACAAAGTTGCGGCAATGCGGAAAATGGCTTCCTTTTTTCCCGTGGCCATTCCTAAACTTAAACCAATATCGTTACTGTTTTTAATATTTGACGAAAGTTATTTCGTAAATCGGTGAAGAGTATCGTATATATATAACCATATGTTAAGTTTTTTATGCATGAATACTACAAATTAAAATCCGCCACTAGTACGGAAGAGTAATAAGCATTCTGATTTTTCCAAGAAGCGTAAGTCTTGATTGCTAATTTTATTGAAGAATATATTTATCCATTTTACTTTTCTATTTCAAATTCAAATTTTTTAGATATAAACGTACTTAAAGAACTGAAATCAAAAGCATTTCATCGTGCACATTGAAATATATATTGAAAAATAAAAGGATCAACTATAATAACTTAAAATTTTACAGTTTGAATTTCCAGTACATGTATTTCACAATTTGATTTGGTTTTTAGGCGCAAGACAGTTGTTTCAACTTCAATATCTATAAACAATGAATTTGATGATGATATATCTATATACTTTTAACTTCCTCATCATCTACAACCATTACTTGACTAGCGGAGAAGAATTTGTGAAAAAACTGAGTAGTGTTTTGGAAAAAAGTCTCCAATTTTACAAATTACAGGTACAATGATTTCTCTCTCTCTCTCTCTCTCTCTCTCTCTCTCTCTCTCTCTCTCTCTCGAGATCGAGCACGCACACATATCTAACATGTAAAACATACATATACATAAATATTGTATTAATTATAAATTAATTCAAAATTAAAATTATATTTTTTAATTGCAAGACATAAAGGAAATTACATTTTAAAAAAGTTAATAAGTGAAAAACAAAGCAGTAAGATCTGGCTTAGAAAGGCATTTGTTATTCTTTTTTTAATTTTATTTATTTATAGCTTTTTGGTACTTACATCCGAAAAATGTAAAATTCACGTTTTTTTTCAATCAAGTTCAACTAACATCCTTGATATCCCAAAAGGTTTTATTACATTTACTTTGATTTAGGAATACTTCAAAGATCTCCAATATTTGTATCGCCCACCTGACGGGGATAAAGTCACTAAAGAGGTAGGATGTAAACATTAATTCATAATTACATTAATTTCATTTATCATATCTTTTGTATCAAACCTTTCCGAGACAATGCTATATAGAAATCGGACAAAGAAGCATTCTAAAGTAGAAAAAAAAAGATTAAAGATAATACTGGGATACCACGATATATACAAAATGTGTTTTTACATTTCTCAATGTTTTATCTGTAATCACTCTTTGAAAGTTAGGTGAATTAATTTCTATATAATTTAACTGGAGTATAAATTTCGCCAAGTGGAAGGTCAGGAGCCTAGTATGCTCCCTTTGAGTCTGTCGTCATTGAGCGGGAGCCATTGAAATTGACATTGGAGGCCTTTTGCATTTATAATCTATTTAACAACATTTAAAAATTATATTATAATTTAATTTCCGGATTAAATGTAAATATAAAGTATATCACTATCTAGCTTGTAGATATGACAGGAACATATATGATATTGCGAAACATGGGATAATTTATGCAAAACGGGTTTACCTTTTAAGAAATTTATTCCACGCTTCCAACTATATGTCGTTAATGTTTTTGGCATTCCCAACAAAATGGACAATGATTCTTGAAATTTACACCAAGAAATATAAAAAGTTAAGGTATGAAAAGCTAAAACAAACCATTCAAAAAAGGCAAGAGTACAGATTTATTGCTTGAGTTCTAGAGTCTTTTTAATCTCCAGAACCTAAACCTCAAGAAAAGAGTGTGATTCCAGGGTGTAGATAAAACACACATTGTACGAGAGCAATAGTCGATAAATATAATTATTTGTGTAGAGTTCCATGTTTGTTCAAACTGATAAGATTAACTGATATTCCCTACGATGTGACGTAAATTACGTCATAAAGGGCCGATATCTCATCACAAGATCAAGTGGTGCATTATTGTTATTTTTTAAAAGTGCTTACAAGAAATAAAATATTGATTAAATAAAAAAATAACAATTTTTAAAGATAAAGAAACTTCAGAATTTTTTCATCATATTTTAGATTCTGTCATATTGTAAAATGTGAACTGACAACATGGCAATTCCTTGTACAAAATTAGGTTCATTTTATTATATTTCTGATTTTGGTGTCTTCTTTCTTTATTTAGATAACTTTATCTATAAATCAAAGGATTTTAAAAAGCATATCTGCACTACAACTCATCAAAGAAGCTGCTGAAAGTGTAAAAACTGAATCTGTTTCTTGCAAAGACCTGGAGAAATGTGAAACAACTAATATCCAGGAAACTGTCGTACGCTACTGGGTAGGATAACATATCAAAAAAGTGACGTCACAGTGGTTGATATTTCTAGAACTTTCTTAGATGTACTACTAGTATCTGCATGTGCTCTAATTTGAAAAACGCAACAATTTGTCTTTCCATGGTATAACAAAACATAGTAGAAACTAGCCAAATACTAGTAAACAACAGTCAATCAAAATGAACTTTAAAAATGTGTTTATTGTTTTTATTTTATTAAATTGTGTTTTAATGAATTATGAATTGTTTTATGCTTTTCATAGAATGTGACATATCCTCCCACTGGTTTACTTGATATCATGGAAAGTACTGCTCAGATCCAACACGTAAACAGACAGATTTTAGCAATGGAGGATAGAACTATGATGATTTACCCCTCCCCTCCGAGTGGAATTTCCTCAGAAGTTGTTAAACATTACAGGTAATTTGACATCATAAGCGTTTAGCTGAAAAAGGTAACATGCTTTTTAATAGTTAATTTATATTGTTAAATCCTGCTCAAACTTCATCAAAAGATTCAATCAAAAAACTGGAAAAAAAGATAAACAATGCAGAAAGGTTTGTTTTGTTGTGAAAGTTAAATTCATTTATGTTAATATTGTTAATATAACGCGTCTGTTACATACATTCAGACATATTTCGGACGAACCGTCACCAGAATCAAAATATTAATGCTTGAAAAGAGAAGTGGATTTGGTGAAAGCCCCTGTCCACTTCTCTGAAGCGAAAAAAGGTAAAGCTCAAACTTCACCAACAGAACAACTTTGCTTAGAGGGTTTGTAGCGTTTGAAACAATTTACAGTTAAAAGTCTCGTAGGGAGGTACATAAAAAGGGTGTATTGAGTGATATCTATCATTTTACAGTAAAACATTGAACTTTTCCCTCTTATTTCATTTCAGCCAACTCTTCGCATCGACACTCAGTCCAGTAGAGAAAGACCTGGTTATTGTGATAGACAGATCGGGATCCATGGCCGCGGTTCACGGAACCAAAACTCTGTTACAGATAACCATTGAAGCTGTTACCTTTGTACTGGAAACTCTCACTGCTAACGACAGGGTATTGTCCTAAAAAATCTTAAGTTGATTGATTTTTGGATAATAACATTTTTTTTAAAAAAATCCTTTTTAAAAAAATCAGTAAGAATTTAAAAAGCATTTATTTTTTACAATGAATTCAAGGATTAGTGGAAAATTGAAGGAATTCCAAAAAACAAAAAAAAAATTCCTCCAATTTTGTATCTTTTATGAACTTTTGATCTTGATATTGAAAGTCAGTCCAATATATATCAAGTCCTTCATCAAACTTCTTATTTAAGCAATGAATCCTAAAAAGAACCGTTATTTTCCAAAGGATAAGGAAGACAATTTAGTCACTGAAATGATTTCCAATAGTTTTAAATTCTTGAAATAAATTTGGATCAAAATTTTAATGTGCACTTTTCTCCCCAAGATCGAAATGCTTTAATCCGTAATTTAATTAGGCGTATACCATTATGTATGTTGTATTTTTAAAAATTTATTTCTGTTACATTAGATAGGGATCGTAGTGTTTGATACAGGAACCGTTGTTCCGGGCGCTGCTTCTAGGAAATGCGTGGGATCCAAACTAGCTAAAGCGACGCCAGAAAATGTTAAGTTTTACCAGAGCATACTTCAAAACATCCAAATAGGAGCGAGAACAAACTATGAACTGGCTCTGCGAGAAGCATTTAAGTTCTTCAAACATTCTAATTACACAACAGAAAGCGAACAAAGAGGTGACAGAGATCTTAATCACTGACATTTTAATTTTTCTTTTTTTAAGGCTAAAATGTATTTAACAAAATAGATACTCATCACCGCGAAGGTTTTGTAAAAATGATATAAGAAAAAGAATGAATTAAAAATATACATCAAAATTATGGTATATACGTCTTTAATTATTGTACTTTTGAATTCTTTAGAAAAAATCATCCTTTTTTTGACGGATGGATTGCCGACTGTTGGGAAAGATCCTGTCAAAACCATTGCAGAGGAGAACAAAATTTTGAACAATAGTGTTGCTATTTTCACCTATGGCATCGGACAACGTAAGTTCAGTCCCTCTCGACATTTACCCGGTTATTTATCCTTGCAGTGTCAGATTCACATTGAGAACAGCTAATTTACGATGAACTTCTAAGAACTGTATTACTCTAGCCTCTCTTCGGCATATAACATTATTATGACACTTGTGTTAACCCTTTGGGTACTGTAACTTATTTTTTTTCTTTTCTGTCAATAGTATTGAACGATACAATTGTTGATGTTCTACAAAAAATGTCTGGCCAGGTAGAAAGTGACCCCAAATACGGAATAGTTCGTGTAAGTGCTATATGTTGCTTTCTTAAATATTGAATTTTTTCATAGATACTAAATATTTATTGATGTTTATTATATTTACTCTTTTAAAGAAAGGCGAATTTAAAAAGATCGCCAATCCTTCGAAATTGCAAGACATTCTTGCCTCATACTGGAAACCATTTAGAAAATCAGAAAATCGTATAAGAGTGTCCCTTCCTTACGATGACAAGTCTAATTTAGGTATTAGTATATCAAATTGTAAAATAACTATATTATGATTTCAAGAATATCGATAATAATAGAAAAAAACATAAATATATATTTAGAGAATTGTAAATATTTTCGTTTTGGTTTAGGTTTTATTACATCTCTTTGCAAACAACTTCATAAAAAAGACAAGAAAATATTCGGAATGGTGTGCATTGACGTGAGACTATCCAGTCTTTTCCGAGAAGTTTTCCTTTTGGAAAACGTTAAAAATTCCTATGCTTTTGTAATTGATGGCATGGGACGAACATATATACACTCTTCTTTAAAACCGATCGCTTTGAATTCTGATGCTGTGATTGTGGATATTGAATCACTTGAAAGAGACGAAGCTGTTGCTTCTATTCTTGAGTCTATGAAAAGGTAAGATACTTACCTTTTTTCCTGGTCTAAAATTTATCAAAAAGAAATCTACAAACAAATCAAATCTGTTAAAAGAATACAACACGAACGTCCCTAAACTCCACATTATTTTTCAATTCGACTATCAATTCATAGGCTTCAAGGTACGTACATATGTGACAAATTGGACGCCTTATTCCACGCAATGGATATTTGAGTTTTAATATTTACATGTTATATACTCTGTATATAAATTTGTATAGGCTGTGCGTTTTTTTTTTTTTTTTTAGATCGACCAATGTTGGTTTTGTTCACTTTTTTATTATAGTAGGAAAAAAATTATATTCATTTTTTTCATACTATAATAAATAATTAATGTAAGGGCGGTTGACGATAGAAAAATAAAACCAGCTTTCGTTTCCTAAACTAAAGTTTTGAATTAAGTATCAGTGTATAATATTTTCCTAGATAGTCAAATTTGAAATATTTGTGAGACTTTGTGGTGTTTTTTTTTTAATCAAAATCAGTTGGGGTATATCGAATCAACATATCATTGAACATGAATATTTGTGAATGCATGAATATCTATGCAATAATGTAGGTCACAACCAAAAACGTATTCAACTGTTGTAGAAGCTTTTATATTACATCGATCCATATACGAATACAAAAAATGCAGTTTGGCTATGTAAGGAAACAATTATTACCCATCGCAATTCCAATAAGGTTTTTAGAAGCCGTGAGTACGAATACCCGCCGCAACTGTCCAAAGCCGATAAAAAATAGGTAGCAACTTTTTCTTTGCCAAACGCCTGACTTTGAAGTGAAAGCTCCGGGTATCAGTTGAGATCTAAAAACCTGAGGCTCCATGTCACCAGAGGCGTTGTTTAAAAAGAGACCTGTCAATGGCCTAAAAGGCCAAGTTAATTTCTTAATTTGAGACATTTCTCCATGGCTCATGGTAACGTCTCTATACAAGTGGAAAAAAAACCCGAATAGGACTTAAAACAACATACATTCAATCAAGCAAAGTACCGCAACATCTGGTCTCTGATGATATTGCTAATTTCGTAAATTGTATTTGATAATTCACAAAACAATTTAGAAGAATTTATAGCAAACCTTTAAAACCGGGAGAAAAAACTCTCTTACTTGTAGAGGAGAGACAGGAAGCCAAAGAATTCTCTCAACCAGGGTTTCCTCTCGTGGAAACACTTTTATAGACGGGGTGCAGGAAAGAAAAATGTGGTCAACCTATTATTGGAATCCCGTGAGTACCTTAAAAGTTTATATTAGTCGTAAATAAGATATTTTGGCATGTATTTTAAATTCGACAGTATAAATTATGAAATATACTATACATAAGGAATTAGATTATTTATGAATGGAAATTGTTCTATTCATATATTCCAGATAAGCATGGTTTGTGTTCACAGAAACTTGCTTAGATATAACAATATAATTAAACTGATGTTTATTTAAAAGTTTCAAGATAAATTCTCTGATTTTAGCTAAAGGGAACAAACCTCTCTTTGTGTGTCGTAATAACTGAAGGCGGTGGGGAGGTTTTGTACAATGCCTCTTCTCCTTCACCAGAGAAGTTCAACTATCATCGCCTTGACCTCCTGACTTCGACTGGCGGAGCTTGTAATCACTTCAACCGGTATGCATCTAAAGGTAGTCTAAATACACTTACATTGAAAATGTGAACGTGGTCCTCATTTCTTGTTTATCAACAGTTGTAATTTTAAAATTTGGATTATACATTCAAAATAATTGTTTGCAAAAAATAAATTTAGGAATCATGATATGAAAATTCTTATACATATATATTTTGCCTTCACTCAGAAAAAAAAAAATATTTTTACAATAAAATAACTACCAGAGAACAAAATATTTTGCTAAAGAGAAATAATTTTAACATGTAGTTTTAATGTTTCAGAATATTCGACAGTTCTATTGACTCCCAAAGCTTTCGTGGATCCTGATTTTAATCTAGAAAACGAAGATATTAATGATGTCTTGTCCTATACAAATTTTCTGTCCGGGAAATCGTCAACCGATCCCGGTTTCAAAGTATGTATTTTTAAAGTTCCTCTTTTATTTGTATTTGATACGTCAAGGAAAATTTACACTGACATTGATTTGTGACGATGAAAGATCAAGTGTAAAAACATTACCATTGGGGCAAATTTATTGTTTTCATTTTTTTTTTTCTAGAATTGAGTAAAATGCATGGTTTGTTTTAATTTTTAATAATAAAATCAAATAATATTGATGCTAATAAACAAAAAGACTACTTAGAACCACGAAGTACGTTTCTTCTTTAGTGAAGGTTTTTTTGTCGAGGGGGGGGGGCTTAATTGCAAAACATCTTATTCATAACACTCTGGTCAGAAACACATATCTAAAGGACTATGGAGTAAGGTGTGAGACATAATCTTCATTTGTTGATAAAAATTGATAAAATCAACAGCATTTAAACTTGTTTTTTAACTTTAAATACAACCATTCAACCTGAAAAAATTAAAGTCCAGACTTTTTGATAATATTGACAGCTGCTTTTCCAATACTAATGGAACTCCTTATTTTACTCACCTTGTCATTGGTAGTTTGCAAAATTATTTTGTTATAAATTATTCTGATTGTACTCACAAGTACTCTTAAGTTGGTATCAAAAATATTGAGTTTCTGTAAGACAATATCTATGTGGTTTTTAGAAACCAGATTTTCTAAGAGTCTGTTAGAATTTCATGGGTACAATTACTCCTCGTTATTATCCGACCTATTTTTGTATTCATATGATGTAGAATTTTTCCAAAAATCGTATACGTGAAAAAAAATACTTGCTGTGGCCTTTACTTATATCAACGACTTATTGTCAATTAATATTGTTTTTTTTTTAAATTCTTTTGTCAATACGATATATCCCGGTGAGCTTTAAATAAAAGGTGCCACAGAGACCGATACATCTATTTCATATTAAGATATTTCACTTGAAAAAGGCGTTAATGGTAATCTAACAACCAAGCTCTATGATAAACGTGATGACTTTAACTTTTCTATCGTCAACTTCCCTTACTTATGCAGCAATATGCATGTACTTACATCACTTGCATATTTTTTTATATCTCAGTATTCGAATAGCAATTCGAAACAAGTTTTATGACAAACGAGATGATACTTTTCAATGGTCAACTTGTTGTGAAGGAAAAACTGCAAGAGTACTGTGCAACAATATATTCGAGTAGTGGTGTGAATCAGATATTAAAAATTCCAAGGAATTTCAATTTGAAAAATTTGAAATCAAAAGATTTTACCAAAATCAACAGCTTAAAAACTTACGACTTTTCAACTTTTCAATCGTCAACTTCCCTTGTATTAGTTATGCAACAATATACCTTCATTACCTGCTCTACGTATAGTGCAATTTCTAAAACGGGGTTAATAATGGAGAAGCAAGTTAATGAAACAAGAATACCAGCCTTCTCGATTAAAATCAACGTTTCGTAGTTTCTATGGTCGATACAAAGACGTTGTCAGCAAATGCAATTTATCATTCAGTCAAATGATGACTGACGTTTTTCATTGGTAGTCCATTATTTACACACTGAATTGACGAAGGATTTTTCTGGTAAATCCCGATCATGACAAGGAGCACACGACGGGTGTGACCGGTCGGGCCCTCTCCTCCAAGGCACATAATCCCATATCCGATGTTTTGGAGGTCAGTGTTTGCCCGCTACTATTTTGTAATTTTTAATTTAATTTTTTTTCTTAATTTTTCGTTTTTTAATAGACTTTTAAGCTTGAATATTGTTCGTTATCTCCTTTTAAGTCATAATGATATAACGAAAACAATATGAAAGCTCAAACGTCCATTCAACAAAACTAAATTCGAGCAGAGCAAATACGGACCTCTACAAAATCATGGGTGGGGTCAGGTACCATGGAGGAGTGAAGAGATGTAGAGAAATATTACTATACAAATAAAGAAAGATTGCGTTGGGAAAAGTGTCATTTCGTTAAATTCGTCGTGCAGGTTGGTTTTTGGTTCGCCCCATAGTCCCTAGTCAGTAAAATATCTGAATATTAATGGAAGACGGCCATGTGGTGACTTTTATTCCAGATTTACTTGTATGTATTGAGACGGTATTCGAATGGACGTAGAAATTGTTAATTGGTAAAACGAAAGCGATTTTATATCTGAATTTCGAGTTCAAAATTTGATTTACACCACAATTAGAATATGCCATGGTACATTATCAAGTCTCTCTTTTACAGTAGTTAATATTTATGTGAGGAGCAGTTAATGGGGCTTGGTTAAAAATTCATTGTTCTTTATTCAACTGCTAGTATATTAAAACACCAGTAAGTACGTTTTCAGCACCAATATAGTAAAAAGAAGAGGAAGGGCGATAACCCTTTCGGGGATTTTCATTTAGATGTTCAGTACATCAACGAAGTCTATTATTTTTATTCTTTATATTTCAGACATCCATACTTCAAAGTGTAATTGCAACCTATTATGCAGAGCAGCTTTGGTTACAGTTTCATCACAATCCCTCAATTTGGAAATACATTGGAACAGAAGACGGGGTCTTTAGAATATATCCGGGAACTCAGCTTCCACAAAATTACGACCACACTCAGAGACCCTGGTAAAGTGTCTTTGTTTCCGAATAGCTGTAAGCTCGCCTGAGACTTTGTTGACCTTTCTGTCTGTTGCTTTTAAACTTTGCAAAGTGTCGAATTTCAGCATAAAAAATGACAAACTTGCAACGAGGGATCCTCAGATAAAGGGGTTCAATTTGTTACCATGAATAGGAATCCCTCTTCTTGGAACACAGTTAAGGAATTTATTTAATGACATCTTTAAAATTTCCTTTTTTTTAAGAAACCTTTCGAAAAAAAATTCATTTGACAGTGCAGCAAATTTCTCAAATTATGATAAGGAGAGCCACACTTGAAGAATAAACTTTAAGAGAGGAATATAATGTAAGTGTACTTAAAAAGCGTGCTTCATATTTTAGGGTTTTGTTGCGTACAACGGTGCTCTTGTTCATGAATATATTATTATAACAGTTACTTAATTGATCCGAAGGGTCGTATCACGTCGAGTTGGCAGGCGCGGATCATCAGATCTAACGAGACGCGAAGCGTCGAGTTTGATCTGATGATCTGGAGTCTACAATACCCGAGAATGCTTCTGTTTCCACTGACTTGTAAACTATCAATATGAGTTGTATTTTACTTCGTTTCATACCAGTTGATCTGCCTTTTCTTGGAAGGACTTTACCGGTCCCCAGAAAAACGCGCTAAAATGTAGTGTCGCCGAAGTATATATGAGATTGCGTGAGCGATCGAAAAAAAAATTAATACTTTTTTTTTTTTTTTTTTTTTTTTTGCTTTTTGACCCCAAAATCTAATTCTACTGTTAAAGTTTACTTTAAAACTTCGTTTTTAAACTAAGTGTTTAACTTCGTTCTATGAAAAAAATAATAAATATTGTTTATCCTTGGAAAAAATCGACAAAGGATAAATCTGAAGGAAGCGAGTTCGGAGCATGCTTAGTGTCATTTCTTTCGGACTTAGCCATCCTTCCTTGTAAACAAACAAACAAAATGCCGTTGAAGCTGATTTATGACCTTAGAAAAATTACAAAAACAACTGAATTTCTTAACTAATTTAAAAGAACAAGTCACTAACCCTAATCTATCGGAGAGTATGCAAGGACGAAGACGTTAAGACGAAATCTCCCAGGCAGATGCTAGACTAACCCTAATTATATAGTCGAATAATGTGCGAGGACTAACCCTAATCTCTCGGATGAATGCGAGACTAACCCTAATCAGTCGAATACTAGTGCAAGGACTAACCCTAATCAGTCGAATAGTATGCAAATTTAACCCTTATTAGTTGAGTGACGTAAATCATAGTCCAATGAGCTCGAGGATTTTGCGGATCTGGGGACCGGTAAAGTAAAGTCTACCCGATTAATATTATATATTGTTGAGACATATATTTCTAATAGCTCGAGTTATTTGTTATTTTACAATTTTATCTAGCATCAAGCTCTGGCCAAATTACACGAGGTCAGTATTTCTGAACTGCTCAATTCTAAGCATGAAGGATATGAAGATAACGAACAGTATTCAATATCAAAGTCCATAAAACAAGACAATATAGGAACAGAGCAAACACGGACCACAGAGGTGGGATCAGTTGCACTGGAGGAATGAGCATCCCCTGCCGGCCGGTCACATCTGTCGTGTGCTTTTTGTCGTGATCGGGAAATAACGGAAAAATCCGTCGTCAATTCAGTGTATAAATAATGGCCTCACAACATTTGACTCAATGATCAATCATATTTGCTGACAAGGTCATTGAATCGACCATAGAACTTACGAAATGTTAAATAAACAGATGCTATGTTAATTAATCAGTAGTTTCTTTATCTTGTTATATGTATTTTACTTATGAGATCTACATTGAAAGCTTTCATCGGTTCTCGGATGCATTTTTACACAAGTATGTTTCATACTGTACATAAATTTTCAATACATCATTTTTAAGAACCGAACCCAATTTAATTCATTTCAAAGTATTTTAAGAATAAGGATCATGCTAAAATAACGATTCATTTCTTTTTAGGTATAAAAGATCGATTGCAAGGCGAGGTCAAATTGTGATAACTGGGCCATATCCTGATTTATTGGGAAGTGGACATGTTATTACTGTCTCAAAAACTATAGAAACCAGGTAAATGAAGGTAGTGATAACGAGCGATATATCATGTAAACAATAATACCAGCAAATATATTTTTTGTGCGAAAAGCAAATATTTTATCCAAAAATGTGGAAAAAATCAAATGACAACCATTTACATGTACATTCTTCAAGTCACTTAAAACCTTGGATGAAGCCCATTTTAGAAATCTAATAACACATCTACAAAATATGATCATTGGAATTCAAAACAGGAAAAAAAGATTGAATAAAAAATTACTTTACCTCAACTTTGAAGGGATCTCTGACCCATAGACTTAGAGTTGAAATCCCAACTCCTTCAGAATTACACAATAAAAAAATGTCCATGGATTGATTTGCATTTTTGGATTGTTTTTGAGTAGAAAAAACATAATAAATTCCTAGAGTATGAAAAATTCCAATATACATATTTTTTGTGATCAAGTGAGGGACTTTGTTCTAACTATATACAAATTTAGATTTTTGATTTTTTGATTTGTAAAATAATTTAAAGACAATTTCGAAATCTTACAAATTTCCGCAAAATTATTACTCTTGGAAACAATTTATTTATATAAAGATATAAATGTATCCTTAAAAATAAAAGTACTCGTGCATTAAATGATTCATTATTTTAGCTACCATCGCAACCAGCAAGTGTTTTTAAGATAAAGTCAAAATCGATATCAAAGTGAATGAAATGAAAGGAGAATATGACCGGTAGTAGAAAAAACAACAACATTCTTTATATTTATCTTACCCCTTGTATAGAAGTATTTACATAGAAAAAAAAATACTTAATTAGATATGTAAAACCTCATGTATGCATACAAAATAAGATCTATAATAATTATAAAAAATAGGATGATATCATATTGTGATTACCTGTTGTCTACTCACACACAACTTTCGTTATATATCTTTTTTTTTTTAGGATGTTGATGAATAATACGTTTCTAATCGGTGTTGCTGCCACGGACATTTCAATAACGTATTTCTACCAGTTCATGAGTGAATCTTCACTTTGTCAAGAATCTCCAACAAGGCGAGACATATTATTTAATGCATAAGGATTTTATTTTCCCAATAGTTCAATAGTTTGTATCGTAAAAATAAATATTCAGGGCAGACATACATATTTGATATTTCAGATAATGAAAAATTTAATTTATACCCAATATTTAAGCAATTGATATATTCCATACTTTTGAACTTGAATGTTGTTCGCTGTCTCCATATATACTTCATCATGTTTATTGAATTTCTCTTTTAAAAAAGTGTAGGTTATAACATCTGACCACCGACTTGCTGCATATGACTTTAATTGAGCTCTTTGAATTCGAACTTGCGTACAGATATTGTATAAGAATTTGCTTTGCATTCAAACGGAGTTATAAATGTGATGTCATGCACGAATTAAAAAAAAACGTGCATGAGATCTACGTATTAAAGAGGTTTAGATCAAATGTTTAGGTTTTTTTGTAATTTCTTTACTGACTAAATTTTGCTTCTCTTTGAAGATGTTCCGTGATAGACGACAGCGGAATTCTTGTCTTGCATGATGATTTTGTAGACATTTCAACAAAATCTCTTGATATTGAAGATATCCATATCACGCAAAAGGTGAGTCAATCAGTGTAACTTAAAAGGAGAATTTCAAATTATCATCTCATTTGGATATACTTCATCCGTGAACAAATGCAATAAGTTTTCACTGTGCTTTACAGATTAAGAATAGAAAATGATATACAGTTTAATTACCAAAACAGAAGTTTTTGGCTGATTACATGTACATGTATATGAAGAAAAAAAAAGTTTCATATGTGTTAAAATAATCTAGTTTACCTTAAACGATCTAAACAATTTTATATAACTTTTCGTAGGAGCCTATAATTGCAAAAAACATGCTGGAAAACGGTGTTCTGAGCCGAAAGTCGTATTTAGATGTGTACAAACGGAGATTACAGTATACGTTTAGGGTAAGTTTTGGATAAAAGAATTTAGACTCAAAGATACGCCAGTGTTTTTATCTACGACTTGTTTAATATGAGGAACTCTTTTGGTTTTAGGAGATCGTTTTGTGTATGTCTGTTCGTTTTATGTTTTGGAGCCAAAAACTTGTGTTTTATAAAAACTCTCATCCTGTTAGTTTTTCCTTTATTATTGGCGTGGTGGCAGCGGTGGGATTATACTCGAACCCAACATCCAAGGTAAAGGAATTCCCGGCAAACGACGCATAACAGGGACAGTTTTCACGTTAGCTGTTTACAGTTTATGAGTTTACTCTTACGGTCAAACACATCATGGCCGGCAATCGCGCTCCAAAACAATGATCCTTGATCAAAAATGAAACAATTACAACATTTGAGGCGTGGAAGCAAAACCTACAGTATACACTTTCTCTCGATCTGAACTTCGCAATTATCTTAGTGGACGGAGCAACATGGGCTAAGAAAACCCCAGCAAATCCTAGACGTGGCCTTGCCAATGACGGACAAAACGTGACCGAAGAAGCACGGTGGACAGCTGCACAAAAGGTAGCCTACTTGGAACTCATGCTCGGACAAATCGCTAATTATTGCCCAATCATCTCAAGGAAGACAATTGTTAAGAATTCCACATCTGTGAAGTCGATATGGCAAGCTATTCGAACACATTTTGGATTCCAATCTACAGGGGCTCATTTTTTAGACTTTGATAACATTCGCCTGGAACCAGGGGAACGACCTGAAGAGCTGTTTCAGAAATTAACCAGCTTCATTGAAGACAATCTACTCCAACATGGAGGAGGCATAATTTACCTTGGTGAGCCCCCTGAGGCTGATGAGGAGTTATCACCATCCCTCGAGAACCTCATCACATTGACCTGGATCCGTCTACTGCACAAGGATCTACCACACCCCTACTAATGTGTTCGGAACCTTTTATTTTTCGGTGTTCTGCAAATCATAA